TTGTCCTCTTCTCCATCCTGAAAATCCACAAAATTTATTGAACTGAGATAGAACTTATTTGAAAGAAACAAAAACTATACGTCAATAAGGAGAATCACAGGGCAAAGACAGTATTCACAATGGCCAGTGCACAACTCATACTATCACAGCCAAACTAAGCACATGCAGACTAAATAATAACAAGATAGAACACTTTCAACTATTACATAGTCAATTCTCTAAAAGTGAGATTTAGACTGGAGTTAAACTACTACCACTTCCCCACTGTGACATGTTATTGTTCAGATTGTAAAAAATGTTATTACAATAACATTCCTGGGGAAACAAATTACTACAGCGTAATAGATTATTAGCACACTAACTAAAAGCATTGCAACGTAATGAGGTAGACACCAACTATACTAATTCTTGGGCTTCACCCACAAAATTATGTGGTGTAAGAAGGCTCCCAAATTGTGGAACATTACCAAAACTTGCACAAGACTAGTAATTGCAGTATGTTATGAACCAATAAATAATTAATGTGACATCCATACCTCAAGAAGATTTGCAGACTTCTCCAATCGCTTTACCAAACCAGCCTGACGACAAATCTGAGCAGCAATTTCATTATGAGGAAGACCAGCAGCAGAAAAGAGAGGTATCTTTTGTCCTCTAGCTATGGAGTTCATGACATCAATAGTTGAAATCCCTGTCTGTATCATCTCTTCAGGATAGGTTCTCTCACTGGGATTGATGGAGCTCCCTGAGGAGAGAGAAAGCAAACAAAAGATCAAAAATGTATGTTTCAAAGTAGCATATATTCTTTAAAAAAAATTTAGCTACATAAAATTTTCTTCCACATTCTATTTAAGCTAAAATGCACAACAAACCCATTCTTAACTCACCTGAAATATCCAAGTAAGCCTCAGGCAGAATAGGAGGACCATTATCAATAGGTTTCCCAGAACCATTAAAAATGCGGCCAAGCATATCTAATGAGACAGGAGTTTTCAGAACCTGCAAAACATAGCCAGGGAAGACAGGAGGAAAGGCAATTAGAAAATAACATTGATGCTCTGAGGAAAAGCTCTGCATGGCCAAGGAATCAAAAGGTTGCTAGGGGAAATCTGAGATGCGTTTCATAATCCAACACAATCATTATCTTGACTTATTTCACTACAATCTATGTGTTTGGTATGCCACAGGCAATTTCTATTCCATGTTTTAATGGTAAAGGGGGAAAATAAGGAGAAAAGTTCACACCTCCCCAGTAAACTGCACAGTTGTAAATTTATTGTCAATTCCAGATGTTCCTTCGAAAACCTAGCCAGAAAACAAACAAAAAGAATTAAATAGCTTGTAAATGAAACCCACTGTATACCGTGCTTTAACAATGGTTACATGTTAACAAGTAGACAATCGTCAAATAAAAATTACAAAAATCTCCTTAGAAACAAAATAAAAAAATAACCAGCATCAAAATTTGTAAATTCAAACAATTTTTGGAAACACACATAAGCATAACAGATTCCTTGCATTACAAACAAAAGTTGGAGAATATGAGACTGCAATCACCTGAACTACAGCTTTCTCTCCATCAACTTCTAGGACTTGACCTCGTCGCATTGTTCCATCACCTAACCGAATATTAACAATCTCTTGATATTTGGGTCCCTAACAAATTCAACAGTAGCATGATTATTGAAGAGTAGGAATCAGGAGTAGGATAGCAAACAAATAACACCCAATGATGTGGTGGAAGAAAACAAATAATCTACCTTGACTTTATCAAGGATAACCAGAGGTCCAGCAACTCCAGAGACTGTTCTATACTCTGCAATGAGACAAAAAGCATAAGTATGCACGCATATAAACCCTTAACAGAATACCACTTTCACTAACACAAGTTCTCAGAAATTTAAGACTCTTTCCATTTACACATGGAAAAAATCATCATTAATACATTGCAAAGTCCCCATATTGATTATAATATGCATTCATAGATAATCCAAAACCAAAATCTACCGTAGCATTCACAAAATAACATTAAACATAAGAAATAATCAGTAAATACACTTTACAACATACCCATGCCAATCTCTAGCGTTCCCTCCTCCATATCATTACTGTCTTTTTCCAATCCCATTTCCAAGCTGTCAAAGAATTAAAAAAAAAAAAAAAAAAACCAACAAAATCATCATAACCGCTAACAAAACATGCAGCATTTACAATTAAAACATAAATACAATTTAGGCCAAAAGATTCATTTAGCAGCTTACAGATTCCAACCATTGCTTCATTAAACGGCTTAACTTAATAAAACTACAGAATTAACCCAAACATGGCTCTAATCAGAGGATTCAAACTCAAAAAGCAAAAAAAAATCCTCTCCGAGATAACTGAGAAAACATTTCGATTGAATCTTATTATAATTGTCTCAGCTAAAATAAACTACAAACACTGACGATAATTCATTAAAAACAATCCTAAAATTAAACTTCCAATTCTTTTTCCATTCTCCAGCGGTTTCTCAGCAACCAAACACCGCTCGAACTCAAAAACTCAAAATTAAGAAAACAGAAACAAAAAAATAAACAGAATTAAGAATAAACTAAGAGTCGATCAGTTGAAGGATATAACGAACTTACGCATAGATTCAACAACAGTTGGTGATTAGTTAAATCAAATGATATGAAATTAAACACAAAATCAATCAAACTAAATAAGATTTTGAGGAATGGATCCAAAAGAGCGTACCTTTTTGTGTAATCTCTTGAGGGAGAGAGAGATGACTGACGAGTTTAGAGAAGGAATTATAAAAATTTAAAGCTGGGATCTGTAATCTATTCTTTCCAAGTTGTAAAATTGTCATAATGGTAATAATTCAGGGGCATAAATGTCCGGTATGAGAGTAAATGATGCCGTGGCGTGTTTTCATTCGTTCCAGTGAAATGAGACATTGAAGGGGGTGTAGAGAGAGAGTCTAGTGTGACAGTTCTTGTGATTGGCAGTACATAGGAGGACACGTGGGAATTATACATGTAAATGGGCCACATTGGAAAAGTAACCCGCCCGGCTCACCGGGTTAGGGGTTTTGGTGGGTCGGGCCTAACCCGGTCTGCCAATAAAACGGACCAGATTAGGCCCGCCACTTGTTAGGGTCGGTTGGCCCAGCCCGGCCCTTCGGGTTAGGCTGCGGGCTGAGCCCGGCCCCCCCCTCTTTTTTTATACATTTTTATCTTTTAATATTAAAAACTGTATTTAAAGTTTACTATAATTTTTTAATGTAAAAAAATTTTGTAAATATAATATCAACCACGCTTTCAAATACCAAAAATATTGTAATCAAACTAAAAAATTGAAAAATATTTTAGCTTTTGAAATTTATTTTTAAATCATAAATCGAACCCAATCTAATTTTTTTATCAATCAAAGAATTTCCCTGAATTATCTACAAAAATCTTTTTCATAGATGCAGATGCTGTAATAAATTTTAATGACAACCATTTATTTCCACCCCATAATTATATATATTTAGTTTTAATTGTCATTTAGTTATTATATGTGATAATTAATTTCATTTGCTTTATTCATTTAATAACAATAATTACTTTTTTCCTTTTATGGTAGTTTATTTATTTAAAAAATTTCAGAAGATAAAGATTTAAAACACTTTTTAACCGTGAGGCATGAATTTTTTATGTTACCTGTTATCATGTTGGTTACGTGTCAAAATGTCATTAATTTAAGAGGCTGTGTCTCATTAAGCCTGATAACATGGCACATTATAAAAAAAAAATTATGAGAATGACGATAAAACAAGATAAAAATGTACAAAAACATTAAAGGCAACAGCCAACCCGTCGGGTTGAAATTTCAACCCAGCGAGTTGGCGGGTTCTTTTTTAAAAAAAAAATGGGTTGCCATATAACAACCCGACCCGCTCCAGGGTTGCATGCGGGTTGGGTTCAAGCCGGCCGCCCTTATAGGGGGTCTAGGTTGAACCCTCTTTAATGTGGGCCGGGTTAGGGTTGACACGCCTAACCCGGCCCATTTGTTCCACCTCTAGGCTAGAATATTATCTTTTAATTAAAAATCCCACATTCCCACCCTAAATATTATCGTATAATTAAAAATAGTGATTTTTTTTTAGTTTTTTATTTTAAAGATTTGGCTTGGATAATCTTTCTTTAAATTTTATTTGGAAGGTTTATTTTACAATCTATAGTGTTTTAATTTTCATATATCCTTTTAATTTAATAGAGTTGTCATAATAACATACATTAATGATATTATAAGACAAAATATTTAACATATTAACTTGTAGCTTCTTTTCCAGACACTTGGAATAAAATATGGTCTACTCTTGCATTAGTTTCACCGGTTTAAAACTGTACCTTACTTTAGAAACTTGAAGTTTAGTTTAAATAGAGATTTTATGTCCTTCAAAAATAATGTAATCATTATCTTGAGTAAATGGTCTAATTTCTGCTTACCCTCAAAGAAAACTATTAAGTCAACCTATAAGTAATTCACTATTAGGACGTTCCCTTAGAATGAACTTCTTCTCATTTAATAGTATAATTACGTATTTCAACCACATTTATGATCATATTTTGCCCTTCGTCTGCAATCATGTTTAGGATTGGTTTTTATAATGATTTCTAAAGCTCCTTTGGAAAACATTGTGTCCTTGCAACACATTTGGTTGCACCTGTATCTATCAGAATGTCTAGAATATATTTCACATATTCTAAAAAACACAGTTTTGCGCGAACACGTGTCAATAGTCCCCTCGAAAATGAGATTTTAAAATGGTTTAAGACTAGTGATTGACAACATAATCATAACAAGCACTTCATCTAATTTCTTCAATTCAATTACAGTTCATCACTGTGATCCCTACCTCAATCTTACCCACTTTGCAGAGTTGGAATCTCTATTACCTTGTACTTATGGAGTATTCTTTAAATGATTTTTATTAATAATGACGTTTAAATGATAAATAACATGGCTTCGATATAAAATATAAAATAGCTCTTTTAAGGATAGTAGAATGTCATATTCATATTGCTGTAGATAATGTAAATATCAGTTCATTGGAGGAAATAACTACACAATGGAAGCTGGGAGCTAATCTCCTTAATTCTTCTGTTGAGGCTGCGAAGTGCTTCAATGTGAGGTTCATCTTCCTCCACCGGTATAATTCTAGCAAAGCTTCCATCTTCAAGATAGTCGACCACCCGGTTGGTAGCTTCAAGTCCCGTGACATAAGATTTCTCCTGTTGAGAAGAAAATGAACTTCATTTCAATGAAATTCTAATCATCTGATATGAGCAAACAGTTCAAGTTAATTAACCTGTGACCATGAACCATGTCGTGTTGTAATCCAATCGCCAGCCATGAACAAGTTGGGGAAAGATGTAGCGCCGCGCATCATGTACTTGTATGAACCTTTTAGAAGGAACCACAAAGGAAATGAAGATGAATTTATATGATCACGGAGCAAAACTGCCCAAGGCAACCACATTAAAACTATAAGAAGACTACCTGGAAAGAAATGAGTCAAGGATTTCGGAGATCGTCTGATTTCCTTGTTTGTAACGGTAGCAGTGTCGACGTCCTTGATGCACTTTGAGAGATAGGGCATAACTTTTGCAAGTACATCCTCATCTTCCAGGGGTAGTAACTCATTAGCATGATACTGTAAATGCATATTTTTAGACCTCACATATGAAGAGTAAATGGCATATATGCTTCTTTCAATTGATGAAAGAAGACGGAAGGAAGTATTACTCACAAAATCGGCTTGTAAGACGGTTACTGGACCATCTTTGTGCTCGTCGTGGATTTGGTTCAAGTCAAAGAAGGTCCACGCAAATGATTCACCGAATCCGGAGCAAGCATTGCTTGCATTTGGAATGATAACCTGGAAGTTTATAAATGACATAACACAGTCAGCTCAATCACACGGACTACGATAATAAAAGTTGGGGGGGTGGTTAATCTTTTTACAGTTTCATTCTGAGTGGACAAATTGATCACAATAAATAGGGAAAAAAAAATTAAAAATCAGAGTATAGCATAATAGTACAGGCAGAGTTAAGAAAATCAAGGCAAGCTTTTGTATTTTTTCTCAGACCTTCTTGTCAAGCCAAAGCTTAATACTGAGTACATCAATGCCAGCCAGGTTCAAGACCTTAAGAAACTCTTCCCTAGTACACAATGCTGCACTACATAGAACAACTGCGAGTCAAAACAGGATAGAATGAGCAGGGTAAAGTATTACGATAGATTAAAAACTGAAAAGTCATTCTGCAAAACTCAGTTCTGTTGTAACATTGTCCACCGCTACTTTATTTTATTATTGGCTTAAACATTGTTCACCAATACATATTCAACGGAAGAACCAATTTCAAATCAACATCAGGTTTGCAAGGAAAGATAATTTAGTGCAATGTAAATGTGAGACGGCATACCTATTCTTGACAAGTTCTTGAAGGGTAGAGATCCCAACAGCCAAGATAACTGCATCAGCATTGTATTTCTTCTTGCCGCAAACTACTTGTGAGATACAACCTGTTTCTTCATTAAGTGAGAGGTCTGTCACTATTCTACCATCAAATTCACAACCTCTAGTCTTCATGGAGTCCACCCATGGTTCAAAAATCTTCTCTTTAAGTGTCCCTCGACACCATACTAAATCAAAATTTTTCTATTTCCATTCACAAAATGAACCCACAATCAACATAAAAGAAATTCTAGTGGCAAACTGGCAAGGATGTGAAAAATCAGTCAATCAAACCTGGTGGGCAAGGATGATGTAGTATAGAATTCCTAAAGTTGCAGCAGCACTACATTGCTCTGCTGGAGCGAACAGCCCCACTTGAAGCAATGGACCAATAACATTCTGATAAAGCCTTTCTGAGCATCCGAACTGTTTGAAAAGCTCCCTTGCAGTAACTACAAGTTAAACCTCCAAATAAGACACTTCAGCAATTCATCTCTGATTACAATAAATTACGCCATTCTGGAATTTGACAGTACTGATTATGGTCCTTACTTGAATCATATTTTCTCCATGCTGTATCAGTGTTGTCGAAGTCGATTACTGCAGGCAGAGGTGCAGATCAATTCATGTGAGAGAACAAATGACAAATCAGAAGAAAGTAATGGAGACTTTTTAAAATTGAATACAAGATTGGAAACAACTGATTCGAACTCAGCAAACAATTGCTGAATTGAATTAGTCATAGGATGTCAAATACTAGTTGGTCAGGAAGATATCATGTAAAATTAAGGCAGATTTACTGAAAAAGAAAAAGAAAATTATGAAATTTAGCCTTAAAAAAGAAATTAGTGTTAATAAAAGCTCATTTACTGATGGCATGTAAGGACTCCTATCTTAAGATAAATGATAACACTGACATATTTAAGATACAGAAATAAAGTCATGGGATAATTGAGATTTCACTAAAGCCTCCCTTAATATCACTTCATTTTGAGAAGATTTTAGACACACATTGTATCATTTACATAGGTATACGATAATATGCAAGAAGCAGAGGAGCCAATTGAGGTGACATTCGAGAGGGATTAACTTTGTTTGCCCCAAACTCTACTCTTAGTAAATTGGTGACTACCTAAATTTCAAATCTACATTTCAACAGGGAAGAAGCATACTTGCAGCCATTAGAGGGAGTAGAGTTAATCTATCCACCAAGGGTAGTCGAGTAAACTGCACATAGCGTGATAAAGTTCAGTTTAAGCAAAGCAAGAAAAACTAGACTTCTTTCCAGTACCCTATTTAGTTAGCCATGTAATGTAAATCATACTTGAGCATGATACAAGGTTCCTAATGGAGTAGGCAACTGAGGAAGATCTTGGAATATTGGAAATTCAACCTGCAAATGATCCAAAGCCTGTTAAGACAATTCATAGACATTAAAATTAACACTAAATACTATCAGCCTACAAAATTGGCTCATGGAGCAAAGAACACAACCCACACTCAATTTTGTTCCTTAAATAATGTTTTTGAGTGATTAGTTAAAAAAAATTCATCAGGTAAATCAAACTACAAATTTTATTTCTTTCAGTCTTGACATGGCATCTACTGTTAATTACCTCCAACCCCTCCTCTGAATATTGTGCAGATTTCATCCAGTTCGTGAACGGCTTGATACCGAGCTCATCAACAAGGCTAAATATATTCTGGTAGGGATACCAAAAACCTAGAGATAAAGTCAAAATTAGACATTAGGTCCATAAAATCATTACAATAACAAAAAATACAACATGTAAATGGTAAGATAAAATGGAAATGAGATATAAAAACATCTTGGTTACCCTGCATACAGACATCATCTGGACTGCCGAAACCATTTCCATCATCAAGCACAGTGACATCAAAACCCTGAAAACAAAATCCCACCAGTACGGATTTCACAAATCAAAACTTTAACCTCAAGATCCACGTACAAAACACAGTTCACCAATAAACAACACAAAGAGACCTGTTTGCAGAGATGGTGAGCGGCACCAAGGCCAGCCCAACCAGAGCCAACAATGACTATCTTCTTCTTTCTAAAACTTCTGCCACCGTTTTGATCCCCATTTCCTTGGGTTTGAAGAGTAGTTGCTTTGCAACAGAACCCACTTCCATATTTGTTTGATAAGCAAAGTGTGGGAGTTGCTCTCCAGGAAGCCAACATGTTTTAACTACTTCCAGTGACTTCTCATCTTCGACTAGCTAGCCAACCATATACTTTTAGCTCTTCTTTTTCTTCCTTGGCCACAAATATAATCTCAAATTTTGATTTTTTAAAGCCTTTTTTGGCCCAAAATATCATATCATGCAGAAGTTGACATTGAAAACACGTATAACGTTCTCTGCCATAAGACTTGCCGCCAAAAATCAAGCTCTATATGAACCACTACAGTTCCACTAGTTTAACATGGATTTTTTTGTAGCCATTCACAGCTAATTTTTTTATACCCAAATATTGATTTAATTGACGAGAATACCCTTTCATTTGTTATTGAAAATGTTTTATCTTTTCATTTGTTGTTGAAAATATTTCATCTTTTAACCCGTTTAAGATGTGGTCAAGTGCATTCAGATATCATATCAAGCGTTATCTAGCTTACTCTTAACATTAGACAAACAGTAGGGGTTCAGTGCAATATCTGAAACTCCAAGGTTTTTAAACTATTAGAAAAAATTCGGGGGCTTTAGAAATATGCCTAATTATTTCTGATACTATATAACTCACTTAAAAATCCAAATATCACCCTCAAAATTTGTTAACTGTGACTATTTTTCCAAGAATCCGAGGTGAAACCCGATATAGTGGTTGGGTCCCAAGTTAACCGGTTGAACCAGTTTGACCTGCCAATCAAACCGATAATGTTAGCATGTTCAAAGGTTTGAAATCCAATAAAAAACACCCTTAACAAATGCTACAAATTGAAATCTTCCAAAAACACCCCAAATTACACAGCCAGCTTCCACAACCCAAGCCAAATAAGGCATGTTTTTGGCATCTACAAACACCCCATCACCATGAAAACTCCCCCCTCAACCTCCTAACCAAAACTCATCTCACCCCACCCCCGTTCGTCTTGTCAATCATTGGCAACAACAGGTTGTTGTCGCTGTGCGATTTTCGCAATTTTCAATCGTTTCACACACTGAAAATCACCTTCGTCGCTACCTTTTGACTCACCGGCCCTTCTTCTTGAAAACCCCCAACATTCCATCCACCAATTGCTTGCCTATCGACGTTCTCCTCTCTAGGGTTTGCCATGAATAGTCAACATTGATAACCCGACCCATGAAGGCCCTGACTCTCGATTGAATCAGTCAGGCCAGGTCGGGTTTTAAGACCTTGTAAAGGGGTGTTTGTTTAAGCTTATAAGCTGGTCAAACTAGCTTATAAACTTTAAAATTAAACTGACCTGTTTGTTTATAACTTTTTTGAGCTTATAAGTTGAGCTTATAAGCCAAAAAAAAAAAAAAGTTTGGGGAGAGGTACTTTTTTTTTTTTTTGGCTTATAAGCTAGTTTGACCAAGTATATTACCATATTATCCTTATTTAATTTTAAAATTCCATAGTATATCATTGTTTAATGTAATACCCTTTTTAGTCATTTTATAATAAAATGTACTTATGAGCTACATTTTACCAAACATGTCAACTACTTATCAGTCACTTATAAACACTTTAATCAAACATGTAATTGCTTAAAATTTCAAATGCTTATAAACTAATTTTCATAAGCTCGACAAACCCCCTATATATATCACAATTTCGCTAGAACCCTAATACATTACATGATTAACTAGTTGCCGCACCAATGTGGCAAATGAGAGTGACACAAGAATTGGATAAACAAAGACACATCGCCATTATGATACACATCTAGGAAGTAGTAACTTAGGGAATTTGTAATTCATGATCAATAATTGAAGCATATATGATTATGGAGATTTTGGAAAATTACAAAATTGGTGATCTAAGACAAGAAATATAATGTCAAAATAAAGTTTTGTAAGCTTTCAACTATTGCTTTCTTGCATACAAATGGACTGGTTGTTGAATAATACACGTTATTTTATTTACCTATAAAATAAATCATATTATATTTTAATTCTTTTCTAATAAATTATCATATATGATTGATTTTTAATAGTTTTCTTTGAAAGGGGATGTTGTTTGTTCACCGTATCATATAAAATTATTGAAAAAAACAGTTTTTAATTCAAAAAAGTCATAAGTCGTACAAGCGTATTATTTGTGTTGTACAAATATAATACATAATTCGATATATTCGTACAGTACAAACATATTATTTAATTCATTTACTCATGTAATCAAACACACGCCACATATTAATCAATTTATTTATTTATTTTCCTGTCATATAATCTCACAATAATCAACTAATTTTGAAATTAATATATTTATAGAGTTAATAACAATAATCCCTCTAAGGCTTGATTACATAACAAAAAGGCAGTTAAAGGTTTATAAAATAACAAAAATTCTCGTGTTAAATTTTAGCCGTAAAAAACAAATGATAAGAGGGTAATTTGGTAAATATATATATTATATTTTTTGATAACCAAGATGTCGAAGCTTGTTTATGTGCACCTCAATTAATCTCTGAGATCCATTAAACACCCTACAAACTTAATGTTCTAAAGTAAACCTTAAATGTGGTAGGTGACCCTAAAGTGGTTCGAACCCAAGAAATCAATAAAGAGAGTAAACATTCTTGACCATTAAGTCAATCCCATGAGATTAATTTGGTAAATATTTATTAACTCAATTCAGTATATGTTCTAATGTTTATTAACAATTTACATAGGGTATTTTTGTTATTATATCAAAACCTTAGTTTATCTCATATTTATAATATTATTTTATTAGACATAATATAACCCCCTCATATTTATAATATTATTTTATTAGACATAATATAACCCCCAAGAAACACAAAATATTTAATAAAAAAAGGCAAACAAAAATAAAAATCGTGATTAAATCAAATCAAATGATCAAACGGTCCACAAGGAGGGCACACCAACCCCACATGACCACCTAAACATATAAGATTTTAACCGCTGCTTACTCTTCACTCATTCTTCAACACACAAACGGCTCTCAACACAGCCTCATATTCATTCATTTCTACAAAAATCTCATGGCTGCCACTCTCTCCGTCCGGCCCAACCGCCTCTCCGCCGGTTCACCCTTCCCTCGACCGTCCCCGGTTCACCTCCTCAGCCCCACCCATCTCTCTTCGTTAAAACCCGCCAAAACAATTGACCTTTTCCGAGGCGTAAACATTTTGTCCCTGCGCGCGTCGGCCGGAGTTGCCAGAGCCGGCTCCCGAGCCGACGACTCGGCTCCGTTTGAGATGTCGGTGGAAAACGCACTTAAGCTGCTTGGAGTGTCGGAAACGGCATCGTTTGATGACATACTTCGCGCCAAAAACTCGATTGTTGCTAACTGTAAAGATGACCAGGAGGCGATTGCACAGGTACTTAATTACTGATACCCCCTTTGATAGTTCGTGAATTTAGTGGATTTTTGTTTTGGAAATGGGCTTTGTAAATTATGTAAGTTCAGATATGCAAGTTTTGATTTTATTTGTTTATTTTTTTGCCTAAGCCTCTCTTGAAGTTTGGTTTTCTTGAATTAATGAAAGCCGTGTTTTTTTAAGTTTATTTCCAATGTGCAACCTTTGGCATGTATTAAGAGCTTAACCTTTAAAAGTTTGAGATTTAAGCTCGTTGAACTAGTGAGTTATTTTTTATTGATGATACGCAGGTTTGAAACTTTTTGGCTGTGCACTTGTCTTGTTGATTTTTGTATTTGATGTGTCATTAACTTGTCATTATTCAAATCTTGTTGAAAGTTCAATGGTTGAGCCGTTTATAGTTTGTGGTTTTCAAATAGAGTTGTCAATAATTTGATATTGAAAGAGTTGCATTATGATCAGTTTTAGGTATTTGATGTGATTAATCGCTTCAAGTTAGTCTCTAATTTATATGTTTTTTAGTCTCTAATTTAGATGATTTCTTAGTGAAGTTCATTGGATGGTTGACATCATTGCATAGGACCACGTTGAATTTAAGTTTTCTGTTAATTTTATAATAAGCATTTATTATGCAACAACTAACTTTAGCCTAATAACATTGCTGGTAATTGTTATTTTTCATTTGTATGACGATTGAATTTTTAGGCTGAGGCTGCGTATGACATGTTGCTTATGAGGAGCTTGACTCAGCGCCGGGCAGGAAAAGTTGTGGATAGTAGCATACGGTATGCTGATGTTAACCCTGTGAACGCTTCTGGGACAGGATCAATGCCTCCGTGGTTGCAGACTACTTTGAAGAAGTCATCTGTTTCGGTAGAAACACCAGCAACTAAAGATTTGGGCATTCAAGCAGGAGTATATGGAGCTTTGATGGTGTTAACTTATGTTAACGGAGCTTCTACATTCTCTGCTGCACCCTATGCTGGGGCTGATATTCCTGGGCTGATCTTGGCAAGTAGCTTCGGGGCTTCATTGTATTTCATGACAAAGAAGAATGTTAAGTTAGGTAATGAGTTTACTTTGTTTGAGATATCTCTATATGTGTTCATTATTTCTTGACAGAGTGTATCTTGAAGAAGTTTGAGCATTTTCCTCTGCTGCTAGCAATCTGTAAAGGAGGCACTGTGTCCTTTACATATTTGTAGTATACCTGGTTCTTTAAGTTTGGGAGGTATTGCTTTTAGTTAGGTTGGTTATTTGTCAATCTGGAATTTTCCTTAGGTAGTAAAGAGTGGGGTTATGTGGTGTAGGGTTAGGATTAGGTCCAAATATGTGATCAAAAAACAATATGTTTTCAGAAAGAGTGAGATTCCTTGCATTCTCTAAATATGTAATACTCCTCATATGCATCGTACATTATTACTCAACATGATTATGTCAGCTACAGAAGTCTTGCAATTGCTTAGCTTGTTTCTACATCTTGAGTTCAGAACAGTTAAGAATGAGGGTAAGGGGAAACATGGTTATCTCTATAGAATACAGCATTTTAATGCATCTGGTCTCATCTTATGTTGACTAAGAGTGTATCAATTAATTTTGAAGCATGTTGTATGCCACAATATGTTATACAAATACCCTATTGGGAGGTGGAACCTGAAGTTTTTTCAATACAGGTGACATTAACTTTCAGCTATGGCTGTGTTCTATGCTTCGTAATTCTTATTATATTATTCACATATATTGACTGTAAAATCAAATTTTCTTATGCCTCATGAATGAAGAGTGGTTTCTAGCGCTCGTAGTAGAACATATAATCTTAAAGCTACTGACAGAGATCTGGATCTCATCTCTTTTTGAGCTCGAATTTTTTTTCGTTGTCTACTTACCTAGGAAAGGGAGAAGCAACTGAAATGGTTCATATGGAAATAGCACCTATATGTGATAGAAATGAATATGACTTGTTGCCAAGATTGTTGTTGATGTTAAAAAAAACAGCTGTGGTCCTGTAACTATATGTGCATATAGTAGTTAGCAACACCTAGCAAGGTAACTCTTGACTTTGCAAGGATAAGAGAGAAAAAAATTCATAGAATTCCTCTTATTCCTTTTATGGCTTTTAAAAATAAAGCATGTCAGCAAAGTTTTAATAACACTAATTTTACTTTTGATTACGTAGGTTAATGAAATTTAGTTCATTTCTTCCACAAGTATTAAGACCAATTTCCCGTTATCTTTGCAGGGAAGGCCACTGTAATAACCATAGGAGGGCTTGTTGCTGGTGCAGTGGTGGGCTCAGCAGTTGAGAACTGGTTGCAGGTAGACATTGTCCCATTTCTCGGCATACATTCCCCTGCTACTGTAGTTAGTGAATTTGTACTTTTCTCTCAATTTTTGGTCTCCCTGTACTTAAGGTAGTGCTAAGAGGAGATTGTAATTAACTAATTGTAGCATGAATTGTAAAACCTGTAATTATTCATTTGCATGATCATACCGCCAGCATTTTTTAGGATGTGTATCATTGCATATTGTACAAAACTTGAAATAGAATGTAGTGAAGCCTAAGCTATTTTAATTTTTAAAACCTACTTGAGAATTACAATGTTCGCAAACATCCTTTCATGTTCTTAGGATGCATTCCATCTTTTACAATTTCATTTGTGAGGTAGAAAACTTCGACTCACAGGCTATTATGCTGTAAAAAGAACTTTATTTGTTGCAGGTCTTTTTCACAATATGTATTTGTGCACCAAATGATAAATAATAAGTCATCTCTGCTCTTAAAATGGTTGACTAAATCCAACTCAAGCACCAAATATGTTCTGGACAGTAATCTAAGGACATTTTCATGTGAATCAGAATCAGGAACAAGATCTTCCTTGAAATTTCTTGATCCCCCATTCCCAATAGAATGATGCATAGTACTTATTCTTATCCGTCATCCTTTTATATTTTGAGTGAGACTCTCCTTAACTAAAAATGCGAGAGCGTCTTATGTAGGATGGGCATTTTGCATTTCAATTTTTTTTTATCTTGAGACTTGACCTAAAGGGTGGTATAAATAGAAACCTCACGAATCATTAGCATTGCTCCAACCGACTGATCCGAAGAGTTTACTTGGTCCCAGTTCGACCGATCGGTTCGATTTGGGTTTTAAAACAGAGCTTATTGATTAAATTATGAGAATGACTGGGACTCGGTCGGTGCGGTACAAATTTTAAAACAGAGCTCATTAGTTGAATTATGAGAATGTCTTAAGTTGAATGGATGTATGCATGTCAATGATACATCGTAATTGAACAGTACATTAAATATTATTGAATTATGAGGATGTCTTAAGTGGGAGAAGCACATAATCATAATGTTCTCATGGCATATGGTCATGCCGTCGTGGTTATATTGTATTTGTATGTACACTTCCACCGAGTCCTCAAAATATGGACATTTGAACCATTGTACTGTATGATTGGTATATTAACATTCCTTTTCTCTCTAATCCCTATTTATATGGCTAAATCTAGACATTTTATTGGCACTTAAAAGCGGCTATCTATTGGTAAAGAGGAAATATCACTTTATACAAAGCTTTGATAAACAGAAAGAGACCCCGTCTGCTGCCACTAATTTTGCCGTGTTGCAGAGAAAATGATGATGCCCCTGACAATGGTTATGCTTTACAGCCTAAGAGCTAGTCAGAATCGTTTTGCTTTTCTGAAGAAAAACTACTTTCAAGCGTGAAGATAACTGCTTTCATGCTTTAGCCAATAGCCACTTATGAAAAGATACTGCACCATCAGGCATTCATGGACCAAAGGGTCTAATCAAATCACAAATAAAAATATCCCCTATTCATCCACCAATGTTTTTAACTACTACTTACAGAGGGTTTACCCATCAGAATTCCTTCACACTTCTTGGCACCATGCCAAGAAAGATTTGAAGAAACTGGAAATATACAAATCCTAAAACAAAATTTGGGCAACCATTAGAACAAACAATCAGCAACGCTAAAGAAATCCTACTGTAAAAATAAATAAACTTGTCTCAGCGAGTTGCTTCGACGTGATAACAATATACATATACCCGGTGAACCCCTCAATCCTCAGTGACCAGCTGTGTTATCTTGTGTTATCTGCTCAGCCTTTGAGCACTCTATGTATGATGGGTCCTCAACTCTTGAAGCATTCTCACTGCAAGTCACGAGATCGTTATACATCTTTAGAGAAGCCTTTGAGAATTCTGTTAAGGACTCGAAAACTGAAGAAAACCCAGTCTGTAATCCGTTCAATGTAACACTTTGTGTTTCTTGCATGCAGTTGTGGTGTTTTTCCTTCTCAACCTCCATTTTTCTCCTAAATATGTCCAACTGTTCCTTCTTCTCTACCAAGTACTCATTCTGATGGTCTACTTCAGCCTCTGACTTCATGTCTGTGTGCTTCGTTTCTACGAACCTGGTTTCTGCCTTCTGAAATGCCAGTGTTTTTTTATCGAGTTCTTTTGCTAGACCATCAACTTTTCTCTTTTGAGCCTGTTCTTCCCCTTGCTGAGACCACAAGGCCCTAACATCTTTAGAGAAGCTTTTCAATGCAAAGGCTACTGGCTTATATGGTAGTTTCTCCATGGAAGCTAACCAATCATGGAAAATCAAAAGCAAGGGGGGGCCATTAGCTCGATATGGGGTTGACGAGTTCCTGCTCCTGCTCCTAGAACAGAATTCAACTTCAGGAGCAAGGAATTTGGTTAACCAATTGTGGAGAGCTTCTACATATGCTTTCTGAGCTGTAACGTATTCTGTAAAGCATGAACGCCAATGTAGAAGCTCTGCCTCAAGCTGAAGCGTAGCAAGTCGATGAGAGTCATTGCAGAATTTTCCATATGTGCAGCTGGCAAAAGATTTTACTTCAACAAGAATCTTCTTCTGGGTTTCATGGGATTCCAACATAATTTTCCAGTTTTGTGTCAGGCTGTGCAGGAAAATAGAGGGTAAATACACAGGGAAACAAAGAATGTATTAAAAATGCTATCGTACTTGGTATTTGGAGATTAAATCACTTACCCTTTCAACAGTTCCACGATTTGAGGCAGCAGCTCCTCATCGCTTAGTTTCTGAATTCTCTTTGAGATAGTCTCAGCACTTCTAATTGCAACTAAGATCCGTGCATATAAATCTTTCACAGCCGCTCTAGTTTTGTCCATAGTAAGTTCTTCTCCATTGACATCCTGGTTTCTCAGCCGTGAACATTTTCTCTCGTATAGTTTCCGTGTGTCATCCCCAGCCTAAAGCAAAATAGTACGTTAATTTACCAAAATGGTATTATTAGAAAGATGCCTTCTGCATTTTTTAAATTCCTTTCATACATTTATTTCAGACTACAAAGTTTGTTGTGAAAACTAAGATTATCAGTCACATAAATCTACTTGAGACATATTTTGGGAACATTACCTGTTTTAAGAGCTTAAAAAATGTTAAAGGATTATAAAAGTGTAAACATTATTCCTTCTTTAATTCTACGGTTATAAAGTTAATCCAATTAATCCACCAGAAGTCCCTAGTTTGCTATCTCAGCCAAAGATTGTTGTTGATGTTAAAAAAACAGCTGTGGTCCTGTAACTATATGTGCATATAGTAGTTAGCAACACCTAGCAAGGTAACTCTTGACTTTCCAAGGAAAGAGAGAAAAAATTCATATTCCTCTTATTCCTTTTATGGCTTTTAAAATAAAGCATGTCAGCAAAGTTTTAATAACACTAATTTTACTTTTGATTACGTAGGTTAATGAAATTTAGTTCATTTCTTCCACAGTATTAAGACCAATTTCCCGTTATCTTTGCAGGAAGGCCACTGTAATAACCATAGGAGGGCTTGTTGCTGGTGCATGTGGTGGCTCAGCAGTTGAGAACTGGTTGCAGGTAGACATTGTCCCTTTCTCGGCATACATTCCCCTGCTACTGTAGTTAGTGAATTCGTACTTTTCTCTCAATTTTGGTCTCCCTGTACTTGATTAGTGCTAAGAGGAGATTGTATAACTAATTGTAGCATGAATTGTAAAACCTGTAATTTTCATTTGCATGATCATACCGCCAGCATTTTTTAGGATGTGTATCATTGCATATTGTACAAAACTTGAAATAGAATGTATGAAGCCTAAGCTATTTTAATTTTTAAAACCTACTTGGAATTACAATGTTCGCAAACATCCTTTCATGTTCTTAGGTGCATTTCCATCTTTTACAATTCATTTGTGAGGTAGAAAACTTCGACTCACAGGCTATTATGCTGTTAAAAAGAACTTTATTTGTTGCAGTCTTTTCACAATATGTATTTGTGCACCAAATGATAAATAATAAGTCATCTCTGCTCTTAAAATGGTTGACTAAATCCACCTCAAGCACCAAATATGTCTGGACAGTAATCTAAGGACATTTTATGTGAATCAGAATCAGGAACAAGATCTTCCTTGAATTCTTGATCCCCCATTCCCAATGAATGTCATAGTACTTATTCTTATCCGTCATCCTTTTATATTTTGAGTGAGACTCTCCTTAACTAAAAATGCGAGAGCGTCTTATGTAGGATGGGCATTTTGCATTTCAATTTTTTTTTATCTTGAGACTTGACCTAAGGGTGGTATAAATAGAAACCTCCAAGCGAAAAAAAGGCAAACAAAAATAAAAATCGTGATTAAATCAAATCAAATGATCAAACGGTCCACAAGGAGGGCACACCAACCCCACATGACCACCTAAACATACAAGATTTTAACCGCTGCTTACTCTTCACTCATTCTTCAACACACAAACGGCTCTCAACACAGCCTCATATTCATTCATTTCTACAAAAATCTCATGGCTGCCACTCTCTCCGTCCGGCCCAACCGCCTCTCCGCCGGTTCACCCTTCCCTCGACCGTCCCCGGTTCACCTCCTCAGCCCCACCCATCTCTCTTCGTTAAAACCCGCCAAAACAATTGACCTTTTCCGAGGCGTAAACATTTTGTCCCTGCGCGCGTCGGCCGGAGTTGCCAGAGCCGGCTCCCGAGCCGACGACTCGGCTCCGTTTGAGATGTCGGTGGAAAACGCACTTAAGCTGCTTGGAGTGTCGGAAACGGCATCGTTTGATGACATACTTCGCGCCAAAAACTCGATTGTTGCTAACTGTAAAGATGACCAGGAGGCGATTGCACAGGTACTTAATTACTGATACCCCCTTTGATAGTTCGTGAATTTAGTGGATTTTTGTTTTGGAAATGGGCTTTGTAAATTATGTAAGTTCAGATATGCAAGTTTTGATTTTATTTGTTTATTTTTTTGCCTAAGCCTCTCTTGAAGTTTGGTTTTCTTGAATTAATGAAAGCCGTGTTTTTTTAAGTTTATTTCCAATGTGCAACCTTTGGCATGTATTAAGAGCTTAACCTTTAAAAGTTTGAGATTTAAGCTCGTTGAACTAGTGAGTTATTTTTTATTGATGATACGCAGGTTTGAAACTTTTTGGCTGTGCACTTGTCTTGTTGATTTTTGTATTTGATGTGTCATTAACTTGTCATTATTCAAATCTTGTTGAAAGTTCAATGGTTGAGCCGTTTATAGTTTGTGGTTTTCAAATAGAGTTGTCAATAATTTGATATTGAAAGAGTTGCATTATGATCAGTTTTAGGTATTTGATGTGATTAATCGCTTCAAGTTAGTCTCTAATTTATATGTTTTTTAGTCTCTAATTTAGATGATTTCTTAGTGAAGTTCATTGGATGGTTGACATCATTGCATAGGACCACGTTGAATTTAAGTTTTCTGTTAATTTTATAATAAGCATTTATTATGCAACAACTAACTTTAGCCTAATAACATTGCTGGTAATTGTTATTTTTCATTTGTATGACGATTGAATTTTTAGGCTGAGGCTGCGTATGACATGTTGCTTATGAGGAGCTTGACTCAGCGCCGGGCAGGAAAAGTTGTGGATAGTAGCATACGGTATGCTGATGTTAACCCTGTGAACGCTTCTGGGACAGGATCAATGCCTCCGTGGTTGCAGACTACTTTGAAGAAGTCATCTGTTTCGGTAGAAACACCAGCAACTAAAGATTTGGGCATTCAAGCAGGAGTATATGGAGCTTTGATGGTGTTAACTTATGTTAACGGAGCTTCTACATTCTCTGCTGCACCCTATGCTGGGGCTGATATTCCTGGGCTGATCTTGGCAAGTAGCTTCGGGGCTTCATTGTATTTCATGACAAAGAAGAATGTTAAGTTAGGTAATGAGTTTACTTTGTTTGAGATATCTCTATATGTGTTCATTATTTCTTGACAGAGTGTATCTTGAAGAAGTTTGAGCATTTTCCTCTGCTGCTAGCAATCTGTAAAGGAGGCACTGTGTCCTTTACATATTTGTAGTATACCTGGTTCTTTAAGTTTGGGAGGTATTGCTTTTAGTTAGGTTGGTTATTTGTCAATCTGGAATTTTCCTTAGGTAGTAAAGAGTGGGGTTATGTGGTGTAGGGTTAGGATTAGGTCCAAATATGTGATCAAAAAACAATATGTTTTCAGAAAGAGTGAGATTCCTTGCATTCTCTAAATATGTAATACTCCTCATATGCATCGTACATTATTACTCAACATGATTATGTCAGCTACAGAAGTCTTGCAATTGCTTAGCTTGTTTCTACATCTTGAGTTCAGAACAGTTAAGAATGAGGGTAAGGGGAAACATGGTTATCTCTATAGAATACAGCATTTTAATGCATCTGGTCTCATCTTATGTTGACTAAGAGTGTATCAATTAATTTTGAAGCATGTTGTATGCCACAATATGTTATACAAATACCCTATTGGGAGGTGGAACCTGAAGTTTTTTCAATACAGGTGACATTAACTTTCAGCTATGGCTGTGTTCTATGCTTCGTAATTCTTATTATATTATTCACATATATTGACTGTAAAATCAAATTTTCTTATGCCTCATGAATGAAGAGTGGTTTCTAGCGCTCGTAGTAGAACATATAATCTTAAAGCTACTGACAGAGATCTGGATCTCATCTCTTTTTGAGCTCGAATTTTTTTTCGTTGTCTACTTACCTAGGAAAGGGAGAAGCAACTGAAATGGTTCATATGGAAATAGCACCTATATGTGATAGAAATGAATATGACTTGTTGCCAAGATTGTTGTTGATGTTAAAAAAAACAGCTGTGGTCCTGTAACTATATGTGCATATAGTAGTTAGCAACACCTAGCAAGGTAACTCTTGACTTTGCAAGGATAAGAGAGAAAAAAATTCATAGAATTCCTCTTATTCCTTTTATGGCTTTTAAAAATAAAGCATGTCAGCAAAGTTTTAATAACACTAATTTTACTTTTGATTACGTAGGTTAATGAAATTTAGTTCATTTCTTCCACAAGTATTAAGACCAATTTCCCGTTATCTTTGCAGGGAAGGCCACTGTAATAACCATAGGAGGGCTTGTTGCTGGTGCAGTGGTGGGCTCAGCAGTTGAGAACTGGTTGCAGGTAGACATTGTCCCATTTCTCGGCATACATTCCCCTGCTACTGTAGTTAGTGAATTTGTACTTTTCTCTCAATTTTTGGTCTCCCTGTACTTAAGGTAGTGCTAAGAGGAGATTGTAATTAACTAATTGTAGCATGAATTGTAAAACCTGTAATTATTCATTTGCATGATCATACCGCCAGCATTTTTTAGGATGTGTATCATTGCATATTGTACAAAACTTGAAATAGAATGTAGTGAAGCCTAAGCTATTTTAATTTTTAAAACCTACTTGAGAATTACAATGTTCGCAAACATCCTTTCATGTTCTTAGGATGCATTCCATCTTTTACAATTTCATTTGTGAGGTAGAAAACTTCGACTCACAGGCTATTATGCTGTAAAAAGAACTTTATTTGTTGCAGGTCTTTTTCACAATATGTATTTGTGCACCAAATGATAAATAATAAGTCATCTCTGCTCTTAAAATGGTTGACTAAATCCAACTCAAGCACCAAATATGTTCTGGACAGTAATCTAAGGACATTTTCATGTGAATCAGAATCAGGAACAAGATCTTCCTTGAAATTTCTTGATCCCCCATTCCCAATAGAATGATGCATAGTACTTATTCTTATCCGTCATCCTTTTATATTTTGAGTGAGACTCTCCTTAACTAAAAATGCGAGAGCGTCTTATGTAGGATGGGCATTTTGCATTTCAATTTTTTTTTATCTTGAGACTTGACCTAAAGGGTGGTATAAATAGAAACCTCACGAATCATTAGCATTGCTCCAACCGACTGATCCGAAGAGTTTACTTGGTCCCAGTTCGACCGATCGGTTCGATTTGGGTTTTAAAACAGAGCTTATTGATTAAATTATGAGAATGACTGGGACTCGGTCGGTGCGGTACAAATTTTAAAACAGAGCTCATTAGTTGAATTATGAGAATGTCTTAAGTTGAATGGATGTATGCATGTCAATGATACATCGTAATTGAACAGTACATTAAATATTATTGAATTATGAGGATGTCTTAAGTGGGAGAAGCACATAATCATAATGTTCTCATGGCATATGGTCATGCCGTCGTGGTTATATTGTATTTGTATGTACACTTCCACCGAGTCCTCAAAATATGGACATTTGAACCATTGTACTGTATGATTGGTATATTAACATTCCTTTTCTCTCTAATCCCTATTTATATGGCTAAATCTAGACATTTTATTGGCACTTAAAAGCGGCTATCTATTGGTAAAGAGGAAATATCACTTTATACAAAGCTTTGATAAACAGAAAGAGACCCCGTCTGCTGCCACTAATTTTGCCGTGTTGCAGAGAAAATGATGATGCCCCTGACAATGGTTATGCTTTACAGCCTAAGAGCTAGTCAGAATCGTTTTGCTTTTCTGAAGAAAAACTACTTTCAAGCGTGAAGATAACTGCTTTCATGCTTTAGCCAATAGCCACTTATGAAAAGATACTGCACCATCAGGCATTCATGGACCAAAGGGTCTAATCAAATCACAAATAAAAATATCCCCTATTCATCCACCAATGTTTTTAACTACTACTTACAGAGGGTTTACCCATCAGAATTCCTTCACACTTCTTGGCACCATGCCAAGAAAGATTTGAAGAAACTGGAAATATACAAATCCTAAAACAAAATTTGGGCAACCATTAGAACAAACAATCAGCAACGCTAAAGAAATCCTACTGTAAAAATAAATAAACTTGTCTCAGCGAGTTGCTTCGACGTGATAACAATATACATATACCCGGTGAACCCCTCAATCCTCAGTGACCAGCTGTGTTATCTTGTGTTATCTGCTCAGCCTTTGAGCACTCTATGTATGATGGGTCCTCAACTCTTGAAGCATTCTCACTGCAAGTCACGAGATCGTTATACATCTTTAGAGAAGCCTTTGAGAATTCTGTTAAGGACTCGAAAACTGAAGAAAACCCAGTCTGTAATCCGTTCAATGTAACACTTTGTGTTTCTTGCATGCAGTTGTGGTGTTTTTCCTTCTCAACCTCCATTTTTCTCCTAAATATGTCCAACTGTTCCTTCTTCTCTACCAAGTACTCATTCTGATGGTCTACTTCAGCCTCTGACTTCATGTCTGTGTGCTTCGTTTCTACGAACCTGGTTTCTGCCTTCTGAAATGCCAGTGTTTTTTTATCGAGTTCTTTTGCTAGACCATCAACTTTTCTCTTTTGAGCCTGTTCTTCCCCTTGCTGAGACCACAAGGCCCTAACATCTTTAGAGAAGCTTTTCAATGCAAAGGCTACTGGCTTATATGGTAGTTTCTCCATGGAAGCTAACCAATCATGGAAAATCAAAAGCAAGGGGGGGCCATTAGCTCGATATGGGGTTGACGAGTTCCTGCCCCTGCTCCTAGAACAGAATTCAACTTCAGGAGCAAGGAATTTGGTTAACCAATTGTGGAGAGCTTCTACATATGCTTTCTGAGCTGTAATGTATTCTGTAAAGCATGAACGCCAATGTAGAAGCTCTGCCTCAAGCTGAAGCGTAGCAAGTCGATGAGAGTCATTGCAGAATTTTCCATATGTGCAGCTGGCAAAAGATTTTACTTCAACAAGAATCTTCTTCTGGGTTTCATGGGATTCCAACATAATTTTCCAGTTTTGTGTCAGGCTGTGCAGGAAAATAGAGGGTAAATACACAGGGAAACAAAGAATGTATTCAAAATGCTATCGTACTTGGTATTTGGAGATTAAATCACTTACCCTTTCAACAGTTCCACGATTTGAGGCAGCAGCTCCTCATCGGTTAGTTTCTGAATTCTCTTTGAGATAGTCTCAGCACTTCTAATTGCAACTAAGATCTGTGCATATAAATCTTTCACAGCCGCTCTAGTTTTGTCCATAGTAAGTTCATCTCCATTGACATCCTGGTTTCTCAGCCGTGAACATTTTCTCTCGTATAGTTTCCGTGTGTCATCCCCAGCCTAAAGCAAAATAGTACGTTAATTTACCAAAATGGTATTATTAGACAGATGCCTTCTGCACTTTTTAAATTCCTTTCATACATCTATTTCAGACTACAAAGTTTGTTGTGAAAACTAAGATTATCAGTCACATAAATCTACTTGAGACATATTTTGGGAACATTACCTGTTTTAAGAGCTTAAAAAATGTTAAAGGATTATAAAAGTGTAAACATTATTCCTTCTTTAATTCTACGGTTATAAAGTTAATCCAATTAATCCACCAGAAGTCCCTAGTTTGCTATCTCAATAATCTCATTTGCCGTTTACCATTTTGATAAGATCAGTAGCAAACAAGAAGCTATCAGAAGCAAGACAAAAAGCTTGTTGATTTCAGAATCCAATTAGAAAAAGAAGTGAAATCTATGAGAAGAAAAAAGCACCAAAATCCACAGGCGCAAATGAACATAATCTCATGCTTAGCTTATAGTTGAATTTGCTGACGGTAAAACATCACAAGAGTTTTAGAGTTTCAGCAATATTAATTTACCTTAACTTGCTCAAAGAGCTTCTTCTCCCAGGCATAAAGCCTTTCTAAGGTTGATGAATGGCTTCCAGAATCCATCCCACCATATTCATCAAAGAGAACATTCTTAAACTCGGTCCATGAGGCAGAGGTTTTGGAACTGGATGCTACAAGGCTTTTACAAGCCGAATGCTTTGATGAAGTTGAACGGTTCCATGTAATAGCTTGCATGAGTTTCGTTGAGTTCTCTGCATCAAATCATATATGGCACATTTCCATTAAAACTCATTGATTTGCGCAAAAATGTAACTCAGAGTGGAGGGACCTGAGCAGAAATATAAAACAAATGCAGCAAAGCATAAAGAGATATAGAACGTTAGAAAATAAAGATTCTGTGTCACGCCAAAATCATATCTACAGAGGAATTGAATCTTAGACCCACTTCAGTAAAAGCAGAGAATTAAGATTTAAAATAACAAGAAACTTTCTGAGAAAAGAAATGATTTGGAGGTTTGATTTATTATATAGTAGCCATAAGGATAAAAGTAGCACAGTCTTGATACAGCTAAAGGCATTTGCATGTGAATAATTCACATAGTTTCATGAAGTTGCAATAAGGCCCACGACATAAGACCTTAAAAGAAAATTAAAAAAAAAAAAAAATTAGAGATTTAGAGTAAAAAAACAAGTCACAGTGGTGGGACAAGTAAAGGGCAACCTCAAAACAGAAGGACGATAAGCAAAGGCAATGGAGGAAATTCACACATGCTAGCAGTTTGATTACTTAAGAAAGCAGGGATATCTTTGGAAACTTAGTCTGTCTAATAGCATCAAGGCAGAGGAAGAAAGAGATTCAAAAAGCTATTAGTAGAAGGTTTTATATTTTTACAAACAAATATCACATATAAGCCCCATAACATTAGATCTTGTCAAAAAAGGTTAAAGAATAATTAAAAGTTCCTTAAAGTGGAGCCTCAAGGACATGTTCTCTTCAAGCTATGAAAAAAATGTAATCTAATGCTCCTACTGAAACTAAAAACTAATACAGATGAAGCATAATTAAGCAAAAAAAACGAAGATTTATGTTTAGAAATTAAAACAAATAATAATAATTTCACATCTTGCATGCTATATCTTCAAAGCTAGGTTGTAGACTATCTCAGAAAGAAAGCAAGGAGAAAAATTTCTTCGAAAGAAACCCTCAAAAACGTGTAGCAACAGAAGGCAGAAATCATGGAAACAAAGGTATTAAAACAAAAAACATAAGAAAAGAATTCTGCACACACCCTTGATTTCCTCCACATTAGATTGCCAGTGAACTCTATTAACCTCCAGCATCTTGGATACTGCCTTTCCAGAATCATATGCCCTCAGAAAATGGTCTTCAATGTCCTTCAAAGCCTCAAGCAATTCCCTTCCATTTTCTGGGCCATCAATAACAGTAAGCCCCTTTGGCTCTTCTTGGCTGTTCACATTAGCTCCTTCAACCACTTTCAGAGCACCAACTCCACTCTCTTCAACCTCCTTGCGAACATTATTTTCTTCAGCTTTCATAACTGTTTCCTCTTCTTCTCTATTATCATCTTCTTCTTCTAGCTCAGGTATTCCTTCCCTCTCTCTCACAACCTTCACGTCCTCATCAGACATCATGCGGTAACCACTAATGACTTCTGCTCTCATACCATCAAAAGGGTTGAAGAAATCCCATCCAAAGTCTCTCTGTGGTGATGGCATGGCTGGTGGCATTTGCATGTAAAAGTACTTACAAGCCTGCTGTTGGTCTTCTCTCATCACTTCTTCTTCTTTAGTCTCTTCATCACAAGACTCAGAACTTGTTGAAGAGTCGGAATCACATGACTCACAAGTAACGGCTTCATGGTTTGTTGACTCAGATGATGTTTGCTGAAGAAACATGGGGTTGTTTATCACATTTTGGTCAATGGGTAGTGGTGGTGGTGAAGGACAAGTAGGAGGAAAAGTAATGAGAAATGGTGAAGAAGGTGAAGAGTGTCTAGCAACAAAGAGCTTAATGGCTGCTGAAACTGCATATAATGATTCAGAATACTTAGAATGTGCTTCAGCTAATGCATATCTTCTCTCAACTGCAAGTTTTAGCTGGCGTTTTCTTTCTCTACAAATGGAAACAACTTCTTCTTCCTCAAGTTTGGAGGCAACACACCCCATGCTTTCTCTTCTCTCTGGCTATTCTTTTAGAGAGACTTGGGATGGCGTAAAGTGAGAAAGGAGGTTTTTTGGAGGAATCTATGTAGTCTTTTGTGATAAAAAAAGAAAGTGGGGTTGTATCAAAATGACAAATTTGTTATCTGACAAAGGGGTTTACAGAACTAAAGAGGAGTCAAAATATAAGCTTTCTCACAGGTTTTGAAACAACCCATTTCATGTTTTTGTAAAGAAACAACATTTATTGTTACTAATGAGGCTCTTCAACACATTTAGAACCACCATTTCTCTTTTTTCTTCACGAAAACAACACAGTTTTTGTTACAATAAAAAATGGCACACAGAGAGAGAGAAAAAAGAATTAGAAGAAGATGAAAAGAAAGAAAACAGAGTAAAGCCACAGGGAAAGGCCATTAGCTTATAGGTGATAAAGAAGGTAGGGGCTCGAGAAAGAGAGAGAAGAAACTATGTAGTGTGTCACCTGTTTGTGTGTGTGTTTGGTCACTTGTTCCTCTACAGAGTTGGCGTACAGCCATGGCTAAAATAATAGAATACAAAACCAAAAAATAAATAATAAATAAAGTGCAAAAATAAGTGGAAAATGGAGATTTTTGTTGAGAAGAGACACATGGACAGAGTTGTGAGCAAAAAGAGGAGTCAAACGTACTGTACAGTAAATAACTGATAAAATGATGGTGACCAGACCACTGCACAGACCAGTAAGAAGAAGAGAGAGAGGGAGGGAGGGAGGTTGCTTTGTCTTGTCTTTGGTGGTTTTCTTGATTCTTTAACTCAAAATCTTGCCTCCTTTCTTTTAGCTTTAGCTTGTGAACTTGCAATAATAAGATTATATTTGTGCTCCTTAAGTTGTGATTTCAGCTAACAAAATGTCTCAACTTTCTTTGTCTTTTTTGTTGTGATAAGGACTCATGCATAAAGCTTGTTAAACAAATGTGATTTAATTCACTACAGAAAATGTCTTAAAGACTATTATTCTATCAGAACCCAGAATCAAGAACAGGGATTTTGCCATTTTGGCAAGGGCAAACTTTAGATTTTGCATGGATTTTCTGGTTCTGTTGCTATGGGAAAGATGGTTTCTGTTTGGTCAACTAATAAACCATTCTGAGGCCATTTTGATTCATTAAGTACCTGACAATTGAATGCAGGTCATAAAGAAGTCCTTATATCTATGCATCATAATTTATGTTCAATGCAAGTTTATTTTTCTTTTCATTATTTACTTGGCTGTGAAAATTAATAATGAATCTTCAAACATTTTGAGCAATTTTTCTGCCTTCTGTATACACTATACAATCCACAGAAAAGGTAAACTTGGATCTCTGCTATGGTGTGTGATGCTTACTTGTGGACCGTTGATTGTTTTTCCCAAAGTTGAAGAATGGCAATCCAATGGTCCATAAAAGGAGATAAATTACTTCTTTGTATCAAAGCATTACCCATGTCATACCCCGTTCAAATGTGAGAACTGTATTAAACCAGTCCTGTTTTGAATGGTCATGAAAACCACTTTTTGTTAATGGAAAAAGAAATCTTGATGAGAAAGGTATATAGAGGCTGCTGTAATCACAACATACGTCATAGTATTATGCATACCATACGTCATAGTATTATGCATACCATACGTCATAGTATTATGCATGCCATGTATAATTAGTATGTATATATCATGTCATACATTAACATGCATGATGAGTTTGTATACACATGTGTCTTATCACAACATACATCGACATGTACCACAAGTATGTATATATGTCCATCTAATTATAACATACATGATGTGTTTTATCTAATCACAACATGTATCAACATACATGACGAGTCTGAAATTTGCAATATACATTTTCACATTGTTGGATTATACTTAAAGCTATGTGTATACACGTCCTTCTAGTCACAACACATCTCACATCAACATAATGAACCTGCATGCACATCAATCTCAAATTTTTTCCTTTTTGTATAGAGTAAACGACATTTTCCCACCCACGGTTTGGCGAATCTTCGATCTTCAGTTTCCACCCCTAGTTTCATAAATGGTAGATTCTCACTCTTAAATTAATATCGTTACTTTTTTCTCAAATAAACCTCTACATCTCAAATTTCTCTCAAATAACCCCTAGATGATCCCGGCCAAGCCAAGAATCTAGCCTGATTTCGGCACCATTGAACCTCCCCGACATCACCATCAACATCCCCTTATCCTCCTCACCAAAACCCCTAACTTTTCCACCCGATTGCACTTAGGCGAGGTGTTAAAACTTGGATGGAAAGGAATGAAAAAATGCAAAAACCTAAGAGAGAGGCGATGGTGGGCAATTGCAGTCAGAAATGTTGGGGGTTTTGGTGGGGGGAAGCCGACGATGCTATTGGTGGTCTTGCGGGTGGTTTTCGGTGTTAGGACTTGCTGGAATTTGGATGAAATTCCGATTGACACTAAAAGCGACGACCAACGATTATGGGGTTCAATCAGGTGGGAAGGTTAGGGGTTTTGATGTAGGGGTTGAGGGGATTATAATGGTAGTGTCAAGAGGGGTCGATTGTGCCAGAATGGTCTCAGATCGTCGGTGGGGTGAATTAGAGAAGCGAAGGGTTATTTTGAAAATTTCATCTTTGAAATTACCATCTTATCCTTTTAACTGTTAGATTAAACAACTATCTGTTAATTTAAGAGTGATAATCTGCAATTTATGAAACCAAGGGTGGGAATGTAGATTCGCCAAACCTTGGGTGGGAAAATATGGTTTACTCTTTTGTATAACCTAATTTTCTTCTTTTTTTCATTGATAAAAACCTCTTTTATCTCAATGTCTACTCTTCAACAAAGTTTTATGATAAAACTCAGTTATATATGATCTTCGTAATGGATAAATCATAGATGACAGGTAATGTGAATATTTTTTATGTTCTGAACTAGAGGGCATTAACTTGTTATGCAAATACTTTGAAATATAATCAAAGAGCTCAAATATGCAAAAGTTAAAGGCAGCTCAGAGACACAGAGGCACCCAAACAACCTCACAGTGTGAACTGTACAGCTAGAGCAATAACCTAACAAACCCGTTTGGGTCATGTTCTTATCAGTAATGTAATAAATACTTTTAACCATTACTGGATGGCCGGAATGGCTGGATGTAAAACAGTAAAGGAGATTTCATAAACTTCTAAGGGAGTGTTTGTTTATGAAAATTAGCTTATAAGGAATTGTTGCTTATAAGCTAAAATTAACTTATAAGCATTTGAAATTTTAAGCAATTACGTGTTTGGTTAAAGTACTTATAAGTGACTGATAAGTAATTGACGTGTTTGATAAAATGTGGCTTATAAGTACATTTTATTATAAAATTACTAAAAAAGGTACTACATTAAACAATGACATACTATGGAATTTTAAAATTAAATAAGGATAATATGATAATATACTTGGTTAAACTAGCTTATAAGTAAAGTGCTTATAAGCCAAAGAAAAAAAAGTACCTCCCCCAACTTATTTTTTTTAGCTTATAAGCTCAAAAAAATTATAAACAAACAGGTTAGTTTAATTTTAGAGCTTATAAGCAAGTTTGACCAGCTTATAAGCTTAGACAAACATCTCCTAAGTTCGAGTCTCCTCATATAGTAATAGGGGTAATTACTAAGACTTTTATCCCACAAACAGTTTTAAGATCTCAAAAAATTAATTGAGATACGTGTAAACTAATCCGAGACCTTTCTCAATAAAAAAAAAAAAAATCATTTGACTAATAACCTGCTCCCTTTAGTCAAAGCAAGTACTACTACTACTACTACTACTACTATTCACTTTAGTTACATTTGAGCATAATTTATTGCCACCAACTCCTCCTTAGTCCCTTTCCATTTCTGGGAAAAAAGAAACCCAATCTCCTTCTCTTTTTAAACCATACTGGGTCAAGATTTGTGTCAAATTTTTTGTAACACTATTGAGGAATAAAGTACTGAGACTCCCCTAACCAAATTTTGCATTTTGGGTTTCTCAAGAAGGTCCATAACCTAACAAAAGTGGTTTTGTTTTTGTAGTTAGGTTTATTTATTCATTTACTGAGCCTTATTTTATGGATGGCATGGGAAATTGAGCCATTGTATTTGTCTAGGGTTAAATTAGTGGTACTTAATTAATATTAAATGACCATTAATTTGGTAAAGGTTAAGATTAGATGAAACAGAAGAAGGGTTATTGTGGGTTAGTGAGAATATGCTCTGACAATCTGATAACATACAGAAAAAAGGCACCTCGGAAATCCCCACTTCTTCTCTTTTCAAATTTTCAATTGCTTTATATATATATTTATATATATATATATATGCATTTTTGAAAACATTCACCATTTCAGAATTTAGAGGACAGGCCCTCCTCGTTTCATGTGTTTAAACAGTAAACGACAAGATGATACTTGTATAAAGGCATGTAAGACATGTCGTTTAAACTTGGAAGGCAAGACAATTCACCTCCTCATTGATATAATAATATATGGATGACAACTGACAAGTCATCTTGTATTAAGAAATGTGAATGACTACTCATCAGATTTTGGCAGCATCCAACTTTTTAAACAGGAAGTGAAAACCCATTTGGGTCTATAAAGAAACAAATTGGTTGTACTTAGCAGCGGTTGTCAGTACTGATAGACTTGCTGGTTGCTATGGAGCTCTAAAACCATATATTCTTTATCAGTCTATTAAATGGTCTTGCGCCAATGAATGAAATTATGGAATTTGGAATGACAGTTTCTTTCATGCCTTTTCCAGTGTTGGAATTTGTACTACTGTTTCACTGAAAATATCATCCACGAAAGTCTTTGAAAGGGCACCATGTCATATGGTATAAGTTTGATAGGAAAAATTCTTTGCTACAACTTCAAAGTCATTGGTCATGCGGCCAATAAGGTTTATTTCCTTCTTACATGGTTTAAGTTTAAATCTTGAGACTATTTATCACAATAACATTATAATTTATCTAATACTTTAAACGTATAAAATGTTCAATGGATCTCAACGATTAATTGAGGTACATATAAATAGGCCCAAACATCTCAATTAAAAAAAATTTAAGATTGACCAATTACAACCTACATATATTCATCCTAGCAAGGAATATGCATCAATCATGAACAGAAGGTCCTGATGATACGCTTGCGCAGGCATTTGAGATTTTTCAGGTTAGATTAATTGGCTTGAAGGAATACTAGTCAACTTTGATAAATTCTTCTATTGTATTTGTACTTGGGTCAGAAAAGTGGACATTAAAAAAACTTCATTCGAACGAAGACAGATTCTTAGTATTTTGATTCCTGCAAATGCATCAACCTTTAACTCTTCAAAAGAAAAATTTCCAGAAAGTAACACGTGCGCGTGACCTTTATGAGGAAATCAATGAATGGAGACCAAAGAAACCGAGAAAAGTAATAACGATTGCATTCAACATACCAAGCAGATTCAAACTGATGATAACAAAATAATTAGTTAGTCAAAGTGTAAAGGGTTCACCTTTTGATTTCTGTTCATGACTTTTCCAGAAGAAAACTGATAATATTCGTCACGGCCAAAAATTTTTTGACTAGTTCCTCCAAAGAATTAAACAGTTTCCCTTATAGATTCTCTACAAAATCTGCCTGCACAAAGTTATCAAAAACCGCTACACGGCTAGAACTATCCTTGGTACTCTGACAGAAAACATTATCATAAAAGAAAAAAAGAAGAAAAACTTAATTTGCTAAGTAAACTTTACAACCGATCGCGGAAGATCCAACAGAAGGGGAAAAAAACAGTGAAACATGGAAGAGAATGTCCCAATGAAGTAACTATAATAACTGTCAATTTATACTCCTCTTCTCCCAGTTCCTTTAAAGTATTTGGCAAAGTAGCTAAATGCAAGTATTAGTCTTCAGGTAAAAGTTACAGTATACATTAAAGAATTGAAGGCTTGCTCCTCATTATCTCCCGGAAGCTACCTGGTATTCACACAAGAGAATGATACAACATATGAAAACATGAGATACATATTCATCAGGTACCGCCAGCTTCAGTTGGTGTCGTGCAAGGAGCCAATGTGTTAGAGGGTAGGTTGATTCCACTCCCTCTCACTGATATATTTGGGGACCTGACGGAGCTAGCCCTACTCACGTGATTCAAGTCAAGAAACACAACTATTACAGTGATGTCGTCGTGGAAATGGCGGCGGACGCCACGATCAATCTTCTTAAGGTCCGAATACCTCATTTCTCTTTTCTTTGCTGCTTCTTGCAGAGCAACTTTCACCAACCTCCTTGCACTTCCCTGCATGAAGGTTAGAAAATACAAGTGAATTTTCATCTCATTTTTTTTTTTTTTTTCTCTATTTCCAGTTTTCAAATGACTTTGATTTTCCATATGGATTTGCTATAATGCAGTAGATCATTCGAAAGAATTTATCCCTAACCATACACCAAAATAAGATAGCAAGGAAAACAATAAAAGATTTCTCTCAAGTGGACAGCAATACATACATATAGCACTTAACAAAAAATTTCATCAATATTAGAGCTATTTTACACAGTTAATGCTTTGCAGACCCCTTTCAATTTAAGTAGTACATTGGACAATTTCACTGACTTTTGCCATGTGGTTCCTGTAATGGATCCAGTTCCATAGATGACTTTACATATTTAGTCAGATAAATAAAACAAGATCCTCATATAACTTAGAAAAATAAAATAAAATAAGTTGCTCATATAACTTAAATAGAACAAGTTGCCATATAAGCTATCCAAATTATTGGCCCAAACTAAATACTTTTGTTTTGTTTATTGTTTCCCGGCTCCCATCAGAGGTGATCAAAACATGTCAAACATGATTTAATAATTAGCATTAAGGGTACATATAATCAAATCTTCTGACCAAAAACTTTTAAAATATATCCCAGCCCAAAATTTATGATCATGAAAAGATTATCATCATTGAGCTAAACTCTCTTCCAATAACACATAACAATTTGAACTCCAACATTGAGTTATAAAGGAAAAGTGTCAACAACTATATAATTTATGGTAGAAATGAGCAACTTACATTGCGTGGATGATTTTGAACTATATCAACTGCTTCCTGATTCGTTAGGTGTTCCCAAAGCCCATCAGATGCAAATATCACAAACTGATCATGGGGCTGCAGCGGGTGCACTGAAATCGATGGTTCTGCGCTCAATATCGGCCTTCTCATAGGTTCACGAAGGCGGAACTTAGAATATAAAGGCTCTCTGTTAAACTCAGGCTTTTTCAAATATACATCACCAATAGATCTAGAAACCTGAAAGGCCAAGATTCTGACCATCAGTAAAAATATTCAAAGGTGAAGAAGCAATTATGAGAAACTACTCTGAGAATTCTGTACAGAAACTTGTAAAATAAAGATAAAGCATCAGCTGTCCCTAGACCATCAATCCTAACAAACCCAATTATGGAGTATTTATGTTGAAAAAAACTTGGAAATAAAGATAAACCAGTACAAGGAAGTTTCCCATCTAGTGTCATTATACTTAATAATTTTGAATGCTTAATGACAGTAATGCACAAGTATCATGAATTCTACAAGACCACAACAGTATGTGAACTCAGAAGTCATGACAGAAACTCTAGCTACACAAGGTTCTATGAAGAACTATCACATTTGTCCATTCTCTGAACAGTGAATAACTTACCTGTATAAGGCCCTTTACACGCCATACATTATGCTTCAAAACTACAATCTGCCTGTCATCAGGGTGTAAAGACTGCAACTCCTGTCTCACGGACTCTATACATGCATTGTGCTCTGCAGAGAGTTGCATGGCCAGCACCTCTCCTGTTGCCTTCATAACTCTCCCTAGAACAGCACGTGAATCGCCAACGTTTGCGATATATAGAGTTCCATTACAGATAACACCAATCAGGCAGCATGATCCAACTGCTGCTATTTGCGGTTTCATAAGCCACTGCCTAGAAACAACAGACGTAAAACCTTCTTCTGTTGCTTGATATGCCTTCCGTATCACATCCACTGACATTGACTGCTGCTCTGATGTAAACCCTGAACATAACAATTGAGGCATTAGAAAAAATAAGAAACTGGGAACAAATGGCAATTCAAAAGACCACTACATGAAGAATAAATTATCCACAAAGATGGTCACATTAAGAAATGGTCAAAGTTTGTATAAAGTTTGCAATCCTATCACTCATTAATTTGTTCCAAAAAGGCATTGAAATCCCACATCTCATATATGCCAAAAAGAGACAAACATAGACTTAGAATTAGAAACGAAGATAGAGAAATTAGAAGTTGAAGTCACTTACTCTTCAGATGTTGAAAGAGGTGATCCGTGATATAGCGTGATGTCTCAGGCCCTCCATGCCCATCATAAACACCAACAAAGGTACCATATGGTCCAGACTCATGAGAACTCAAACTGCCAGACTCTAACTGGCTTTGATCCTCAAGTAAATTGTTGGCCTGCACCACAGCCATTGAGAATTCACCATTCATGTGATGTCCTGAATCTTTGTACCACAACAGTCCATCTTGGCGACCCACAGAGTCTGAATTCGTGTGAACATATCGATCGGACCTTGGCCGAAAACAGGCCCTCAAAAAGTTCATCAACCCCTCTAACATCCCTCATCTCATCCAGACAATCCTCTGAAATCTCCTCATCTAATAACCATTCAAAACAATACTGCCCCAAATACCCCAGTTGTGAAAGTTTATGGCCCTTTACTTTTCAACACAACAACATCAACAACAAAAGCACATAATTAGTACTTGTACACGCACAATAAAATTTCAAGACAACCGTGATTTAAAATAAGCCAACTACTAATAGTACCTTCCTTTACTTCTCAACACAGAATCAATACACTCTTACTCTTCAATTTTGAATCGAATACAAGAAGAACATCCTAAAGCAACGATATCAACAAGTACAATATACACAAAGTAACAATGGTAATAACTGAAAACTACCGGATCAAACATATAATGTAAAGAAGCCGCCTTTTTAGTTTGCTTGCAGTTTTCAATTACAACAAAACAGAGGAAACCAGAGCCTTTAAAACAGAACCCATCAAAGTTCTTCTCAAAATGGAAACAACCCCTGCCCACAACACGACCGCTAAAATTGAAAAAAATCAACAGATACAACAAAAAGAAGAACTTTAAAAATAAAAAGGTCAAAGCCCCAACTTTTCTCTCAGAATATCAAACAATTTAAATATCCAGAATGTCTACTGTTTCACATTGAACAAGTAAAAAAAAAAAAGTTCCACATAAACCCATTAATCACTAATTCAACTAATTGAACTAACAAATTTCAAATTTTTCTTCAAGAAAAATCAAAGCTTACCAAACAATTTGACAAATTTATCACAGTTGATGAGCGGAGAAGGATCTAAAAAGGGAAACCTTCATCTGGGAATCATCAAAGCATTAGATCTATGGATCAATCAACTAAAGATAAAGAAACCGAGGAGGGTTGTGATTTCTTTGGTGGGTTCTTCCAGTGAAGATAATAAAGACGAGATTGTTACAGAACTAAGCGAATAAAAATGGCAGAAACTAATAAGAAAAGGTTACAAATACTCTCTCTTGCTATGTATATGAGGGTAAGCAGACAAGACCCATAAAGAGGCAACAATAGAGAGCTTGAAGCCAGCAAAGCAAAGGTCCCGTTTTGGGCTCCACACTACAATGGTCTAATGGTGTAATGGAGAGAGATTGAGGAGAGAGAGAGAGACAGAGAGAGAGTCAATGAAATGGAGTTAGTTTGGACAATGATATTCTGAAACAGTAACACAATGAGGGTGTTGCAGAAATAAGGTTCATGTGACCACACGTGGACCAATAGGTCCTTGACACCTAACCTTCTCAACCCAATATGAATAATTATACACTTATTACTCAATCAACTCTCATTCTCATATATATTCGTTCCAAACAAATTTAGATAGATTTTCCAATTTTTTTTTTTTTAATTATAATATCTAAAACTTAAACTTAAAATCTTAGGTGATATAAAAACTAATTTAGGGGGTGTTTATCTAAACTTATAAATTGGTCAAACTAACTTATAAGCTCTAAAATTAAATTGAGTTATTTGTTTATAACTTTTTTAAACTTATAAGTTGAGTTTATAAGAAAAAAAAATTGGGGGAAAATACTTTTTTTTTTTCTCTACTTATAAGCTAGTTTGACCAAGTATATTATCACATTATCATTGTTTAATTTTAAAATCCTTATTGTAGTACTCTTTTTAGTCATTTTATAATAAAATGTACTTATAAGCCACATTTTATCAAATACGTCAACTATTTATCAATCATTTATAAGTACTTTAACCAAACACATAATTACTTAAAATTTTAAATACTTATAAACTAAAATTAGCTTATAAGCATTTGTTCTTTATAAGCTAATTTTTATAATCTGAGACAAAACACTCCCTTAAAATTTTAATTTGATATGTTAATAGTTAAAACACACAATTCTTTATTTTTCTTTTTTAATCACCAAGTGAGTGTCCGAGCTTATTTGTGTGTATCTCAATAAATTCTCTAAAGACACTAGAATTGTCCGTCGGATAAGAGCTTTAATAAACATCTTTATTAATATCTGGAAAAACTTAAACTCAAAAGCTTTCGGAACTCTTTAATCATCTAGCCATGATTCTTGAATTTCTCTTCTCAAACAATGAAACTCGGTTATAAAATGTCATTACAATAGCTACAAGTTTCTAATTAAAAATACAGTTATTTGAATTTGAATAAGAACTATAGATTTGTGTCCATCAATTTGAATCTCTTCCCCTATTCATTGCCACTAAAAAAAAAAATCTAATTTTAACTAATATCATAGAAACCCCCACCTAAAATTTTAAATTAAGTTTTAGTGTTATCTCTAGTTATCCTAACGGTTAGATAAATCGGAATATGCATCTGTATCTCAACTAATCTTTTGAGATCTTAAAGTGAATGATTAGTTAAATTATCCCAGTGATTAGACCTAAAATGACTCGAACTCAAGGACTTCTTTGCTAATTTAAGTTAAAATTGATTAAAAATCTATATGTTAATGTTTGAGAAGAATATTATATGTTATTATTGGAGGTATTATTGAGGAATAATGAAGAGATTTGACCAAACAAAAGAGGAATTCAGGGGGGATTTGTGTGGATTTTTAGGAAACTGCTCGGAAACTTCTCAGGAATCAGGATTAATGTGTCTAAATTATTATTATTTTAAAATTTAATTGAAGCCTAAAGATCAATGCCTGAGAAACAGCTCATTAAGAGCTTTTACTTGTTTGGACGTATCTATCAACCGCCGACTTTTCATGACCTCTAAGTTGTTTTTTGTTCCAAAATCTTTCCATCATTTTTCTTGTTTTAGGGACTTTTTAATTTTTTGGAAAATTAAATTAAAAAAATTATGTCATTCAAAGTTCAAACATTGTTATGAATAATATTCAAAACAATTGCATAAGAGGGTACATTACCAAATCCTAGGAAAATAATTTTTTCTTTTAGTAATTAAGTGTCCTGGGCAAATTTACGTACACTTTTCACCAATGTCAATTAAACAACTAAAGGTTTGAACCTAAAAATTCAAGAAAAAGAACAAATCTACTTGACTGTTAGACCAACACTTTCTTATATGCATGTTGATAAAAGATACAAATAATTCAATAACATGATATATCTGTTTTACTTATTACTTTTTGTGATATGAGTTTGAATTTGAGCTCTCGTTTCCATTTGAAAAGAACACAGAAACTGAAGCAAAATAGAGATTATCTAATCATCGTTAACTAAACATAACAAAATTGTATTGGAGATTAAGATAAACAGGTGGCCAAATCCTTTTGAACGAGAAGAATTCTGTGGATTTGGCTGATGGCACTATCACCCCTACATTAAATTTTAGGTAATTTGATAAGATGAGATGGCATGATCAACCCAACTGTGCAATGTTTGGTGTTCAATAGTGGAACCGTCAGGTCATATCAAAAAGGTTCCTCTCTTTCTCCTTAATGAACAGGTACATCCGGTATGCAATTCTACTGTTTAAATGTTGCTGCGTATGTATGTGTATACTTATATATTGATCATGTGAGATCCCATATGATTACAGAAGACGGTAAGCACCATTTATATATCTTGTGAACTCTTAAATTGTCAAGACGTGTTTTGAATTATCCTATAAGTTTTTACTTGAAACTCAAAAACAAAACTGCAAAGACAATGAATTCAAAACAGACAATATAATTTATGAGCTGAATCTTTATAACACGACTAAATATGGATAATGATGTTGTAAAAGCATGATTTTTGCTATTATATGCAATGTTGCAGCAAATTTGAATCTTTTGTGGATTTCAAATGCAAAGTAGATTATCTAAATTGGTAATGGGAGTTAGGCCAAAGCTAAAAATTAATATGGTTTATGTCTGGCCATCCTTCCCAAACTCTAATTTTTATAATTCAATGCCGTTAACAGTCAACAAATGAAACCTAAGTACCTAACCTAGAATGGAACTGTGCTGCAACAAACAAAAAATGAAGTAATCAATCTGGGTGATGCGCACACAGAAACTCTTTTTGTTTCATGTGTGATGCCTTGATGTGCCTTTATAATTAATGTCTTTTAGGTCTGAAAAGAAAGAAAAGGAATGATGGCTGCATTTGTGAAGATTAAAGCACCTCGTTCATTGCATATTTGATGGATACTTGCCAATGTAGGGAGTAGGGACACTGTAAATTCACTCCCTTCAACAGTTATGTCCTTTAGCTAAGGCAATTGAGCTGTGATTTTCGTATTTATCACATTTTATGTTGTGGATTTTGACAGGTTAGAGAGAGAGAGAGAGAGACGGTGATGTAACAATGGCAAAAGAGAGGATTAAAAATCTGTAAGTTGGTGAAAAATTATAGCCTGTGACCTTACAGATTTTACCCTTTTGAGGATGAAATTATTGGAAAAGAACAGATATGTCACACAGTCCTTTCGTTTTCTTTTGCTTTATCCTCGTTCTTGCCAGCNAAATAATTCAATAACATGATATATCTGTTTTACTTATTACTTTTTGTGATATGAGTTTGAATTTGAGCTCTCGTTTCCATTTGAAAAGAACACAGAAACTGAAGCAAAATAGAGATTATCTAATCATCGTTAACTAAACATAACAAAATTGTATTGGAGATTAAGATAAACAGGTGGCCAAATCCTTTTGAACGAGAAGAATTCTGTGGATTTGGCTGATGGCACTATCACCCCTACATCAAATTTTAGGTAATTTGATAAGATGAGATGGCATGATCAACCCAACTGTGCAATGTTTGGTGTTCAATAGTGGAACCGTCAGGTCATATCAAAAAGGTTCCTCTCTTTCTCCTTAATGAACAGGTACATCCGGTATGCAATTCTACTGTTTAAATGTTGCTGCGTATGTATGTGTATACTTATATATTGATCATGTGAGATCCCATATGATTACAGAAGACGGTAAGCACCATTTATATATCTTGTGAACTCTTAAATTGTCAAGACGTGTTTTGAATTATCCTATAAGTTTTTACTTGAAACTCAAAAACAAAACTGCAAAGACAATGAATTCAAAACAGACAATATAATTTATGAGCTGAATCTTTATAACACGACTAAATATGGATAATGATGTTGTAAAAGCATGATTTTTGCTATTATATGCAATGTTGCAGCAAATTTGAATCTTTTGTGGATTTCAAATGCAAAGTAGATTATCTAAATTGGTAATGGGAGTTAGGCCAAAGCTAAAAATTAATATGGTTTATGTCTGGCCATCCTTCCCAAACTCTAATTTTTATAATTCAATGCCGTTAACAGTCAACAAATGAAACCTAAGTACCTAACCTAGAATGGAACTGTGCTGCAACAAACAAAAAATGAAGTAATCAATCTGGGTGATGCGCACACAGAAACTCTTTTTGTTTCATGTGTGATGCCTTGATGTGCCTTTATAATTAATGTCTTTTAGGTCTGAAAAGAAAGAAAAGGAATGATGGCTGCATTTGTGAAGATTAAAGCACCTCGTTCATTGCATATTTGATGGATACTTGCCAATGTAGGGAGTAGGGACACTTTAAATTCACTTTCTTCAACAGTCATGTCCTTTAGCTAAGGCAATTGAGCTGTGATTTTCTTATTTATCACATTTTATGTTGTGGATTTTGACAGGCTAGAGAGAGAGAGAGAGAGACGGTGATGTAACAATGGCAAAAGAGAGGATTAAAAATCTGTAAGTTGGTGAAAAATTATAGCCTGTGACCTTACAGATTTTACCCTTTTGAGGATGAAATTATTGGAAAAGAACAGATATGTCACACAGTCCTTTCGTTTTCTTTTGCTTTATCCTCGTTCTTGCCAGCCAACTTGTCAAGAGCTGAATTTGTGGATCATGTTCTAGTTTCATTTTCACCCTTTCCAAGGAAGAAAAGATCCATGAAAGAAACTACATACATAGCAACAAGATTACATTCAAACTCATCAGAAAATTTACGTTTGTTAAGTTATCGCTTGACCCAAAAACCCCTCTAATGAATGTATGGTTAAGTGATAGGTATGAGACGGAAATATTGATAGATTTGGATAAAGGGGAGAGGAGATTTGTCCCTTCACCTAACGTTATGAGAATTAAATGTGTCCAACTCAACTCCAAACTCTTGATTGGATACATTTCTCAATCCGTTCAAAGCTAATTAACAAGGGCTTCAGGGCCTTGTGGCTGCATTCATCTGCAACTAGAAACAGGACACACTAGTGGTGGGGCTGGGCTGAAGTTGAAGATGAAGCTGGCCGTACTAATTATAACATTATTGGCATTCTTTGAACTTCGAAGCCACGTGAATTTGGAGAAGGAGACATCTTACTGTTTGTTGAGTTTTCAGTCTTCTTTAGACTCTAGAAATGGTGGGTTATAGCCTGCAAAAAATAGGTCCAATATACACCAGAAGAAAATGAAATAAAGTGGACTGTTGACCAGCTTCATTGGGGTCCTACTTCTTATATCAATTCCTCAAGACAAAAATAGTACAATGATCAAAATCTTTGGGACCGTCTTGCAAATATATGATAGATTAGTCTGCTCAAGATTTACACGTGATCCCTTGTCCAATTTCCCATGAATTATTAATAAACATGTTTAGTCTTAGACTCTTTGGTGGGTAAACTGTAAAGAGTCACAAATCACATTAGGACTAATTCAAAACCAAGAGTAGATCACAGGGAACTCCATGATTGAAGAAGGGAAGGAGGCTGAAAAATGATGGAAAAAAAAAAAAAAAAATTAAATGAAAAGCTACGGATCATGTCTGTTAATTCGTCAAACTCAAGCTGCCTTATCTTAACCACCAGAGAGATATCGAGATAGAAAGATAGACAATTGGGATAATGTTCTTGAACTCAAATCTACAAAAAGTCATGTCTCAGACGAGAACAATGTACTTAGTCTAGGTTCTGAAACATTAATGAAATGGCCCCATTTAACTAAAACAAAAACAATAAACAACACAGCCTATATTATTTTATTAACTTGTTGAATTGAATAAAGTTTTACCAGTTTGGTTAAGCCCTTCCTCAGAGTAGCTTTCCGGGAGAGATGATCTTTGCATGCTAAATGCCTTTTTCAAAACTACACCTTTTAACAAATTGGATTTCTCAGTTTTCATCTGGGGTGTCTTTGATTTGGGTTATTTTCCTAAATTTTTGCCGTTTTTCTAATTACTTTATTTGTTCCATAACGTTATCTAGTCAATATAATAGGTTTTGCTTCTCTTTGTCATGTCATATTGGACAATGACTTGGGAGGTATAGATTAGTTAGCTGATATAGCAAAAAAATAATAATGTAAAACTTTAATAAAAGTCGAATTTTGAGCCATTTTCAAATGAAAACCATTGAATTGTTTTAAACGGAGTAATTTATTAATGTTTTTATCCATCTAAGAATCTCTCTTAATTAATAAGGTGAGATTTTTCTTCCTCTTTGTTATATTGACTTGTGAGATACTATTTTCAAATTTGGTTTTTTTTTTTTTTTAATGACTAGAAGTGTCTAAGGGGGTATTTGTCTGAGCTTATGAAAATTAACTTATAAGCATTTGAAATTTTAAACAATTACGTGTTTGGTTAAAGTACTTATAAGTGACTGATAAGTAGTTCACGTATTTGGTAAAATGTGGCTTATAAGTACATTTTATTATAAAATAACTAAAAAGGGTACTACATTAAACAAATGTATATTATGAAATTTTAAAATTAAACAAAGATAATGTGGTAATATACTTGGTCAAACTAGCTTATAAAAAAAAAAATAATAATTTGGGGGGAGGTCAATTAAGCTCAAAAAAGTTATAAACAAACATATCAACTTAATTTTAGAGCTTATAAGCTTAGACAAAAACCTATTAAGTCAATTTACGTGCAACTTATCTAATCTTTTAAAACCTTAAAACTATTAGCCAGAAGAGAACTTCACTAACTATCCTTATTAACAACAACTCAAACTCACAATTTTTTTTAATAATACACCAAAAAGTTATTATTGAATAGGGTAGAATTTTCTTCTCATTATTATATTGACTTGTCAGTTGTGGAATTGATGTAAACCGTCTACGAAAGGTAAGTTTTGAACATTTTTCACATGAAAACCATTTGATAGGCGAAGAATTACTAAGTCAATAAGGTAGGTTTCTCTTCTCTTTGTCACATTATACCTAAACCATAGATTTGGAATGTACAGATTGGTTAGCCAATATACAATTACTTCATATATAATGTAATGTAAAAAAACAAGTTTCATGTGGAAACCAGAGTCATCTCTCCACTTTTGAAGCTGAATTAATAGTCAAATAACCTGACATATTTGATGACATATTGAATCTCATATTTGATTCACCATATAGGATGCCATGAATCTTAGAAATTGGGTCCAATTTTGACATTGACAACAAATAAATTGACATAATCATCTAACTTAATTATTATTTTTTCAATTGTAGTGACCACAAAATGTTTGAAAGTTAAAAGATGTCAATTTTGGGAGATGTTCCACCAATTTGACATAACCAATCCCTAGTGGTTGAGTGGTTCAATAGAGACTCTTTGATGTATTACTAAAGAGGTCATGAGTTCGATAGGGACTCTTGGATGTATTACTAAAGAGTCATAGTTCGAGTCTCTCCTCGATTGCTAATAGGTGACCACTGGAGCTCTTACCCGTCTAGTTTCAAGTCTTAGTGGATTAGTTGAGGCATACATAAGCTGGCCCGCACACCCTAGTATTAAAAAAAAAAAAAAAAAAAACCATTTGACATCACCACTCCTAATTCTCATAGATTTGTAATTTCATTAGAGAATATGCTAACATAATAATAATATAAACCAACTAAATTTAGAAGGATTAACCAAAAGGGTATGCTAATTAATAAATAGTTAATCAATATAGGGTTTAATTAAGGTTTGATTTCACTAAAAAAAAGCATTGATATAATACAAAAATTAACAAATTTGGGAGGATTAACCAAAAGGGTATGCTAATTCATTATCAATTTAGGTATAGTTGATTCCTGCAAAATCTAAAGTCATTTTCTTATAAAGATTTATGTGCATGTAACATGTCATAGTTTTGAAATGAATTGAATAGATGGAGGAGATGGTCATGGTTTAACAAGCTCTTTTAATAATTTGGAGTCTTGTTTAATTAGGTTAACATTACATCAAGGTTGACCCCCTGATTTTGAAGCTTTGATAATTATATTTAAGAGTTAACGACTTTTCCCACCCAAGGTTTGCCTTAATGACTTTCCCACCTAAAGTTTATATTCTGATCAATTGTTGGTTGATTCTGACATCTTTGCGACCCCACGTCACCACTATTCTCTTTCCTGATCGTCACTCACCGAAACCACTTAAATCTCGCTCCCGTCAACCTTGTTAATTACCGACAATCGAGCGATTTGTGTAACACGCAGCCGCCCCTCCTAAGTCAGATTCCGACCAATCTCGATCACCAAAATTAACCTACCACTACCAAAGGACTTATCGGCATCCCCTCTTAAAAAACCCCAATAGTTTGGACCAAATTTTCTCTTCGTTGCCCGCCAAATCAGAAAGTGTATTATGGATAGTAAACGAATACAAACTTTGGGTGGGAAGGTGACATTTTGAAACTTTTTGGGTGGAAAATTGTTATGAAGGAAAACCTTGGGTGGGAAAAAGTCGTTTACTCTTTTATTTATAGTTATAATTGAATTGAATTGAATTATTAGATAATTGGACAAACCTTTAATCGGGAAGTAGTATTGTGAATCTCATCCAAAGTCTTAGCCATATTCAATGGACACCCATTCATTTAATAATAAATCTCATCAGCGCCTCTTCCTGGGCCTCATTTGTTGTTTAACTTCTACCTTAAGATTTAAAATTTAATTAATAAACCCCTTAAAATAATGTGTTCAAATTTCTTTAGCCTAGACTCCTACACATGTAACTTACGGCACCATAATGCCTCCAAAGTCTATGTATTATAATAATAATTCAGGGCAATTAATTAAAATTAATGAAGAGATTACATTCTGAAAACGCTTTTAATTTTTAAAATGAACTATTTTACATTGAGCTTATCCCGTATGCTATTTTTCGAGCTTATTGAAATTTCAATAATATTTTATTATTTATAAATTTGACTTAATTTATTCCATGAAATTACTTGTGGAAATTCTTTTTCACACCTTCGGTGACCATCCTGGGCCTATCCATGGGCCAACCCACGTAGATAGCCGTTTGTATTTGATTCCAAAGCTTATGTTCACCATGAAACCATCGATAAGAGCTGGGCCTACCTCATCCGGCCCACTAAGGGCCCATTCGAATCTCTACCATCATATCCGTTCGTCTAAACCGCAGATCCAACGGCCGAAACACCATGTCTCCATCTGAGCTCACGACGCCGTGAACTTCAGTGTCACACTGACCCCCCCGGTTCCCAAATCCCAGGATAGGAAGGTTCAGTTAGGGTTTAATTCACTCTTCTCTTTCAAAATAAAATCCCCAAATTTTCTGAAAAGAATACAATTTCGTCACTCATTCAGCTGAATAAGATGGCTTTTTGGTGTAGAATCAACCAATCAAAACATCTCAAACTCATAACTTATCAGTTGAAGAGACGTTACATTCAAGTTCCCCAATTAAATTCCTCCGTTACAGAGTCAAGAATTTGTGCTGTAGAGAATCCCTTTTGGGGAATTGTTAAAAAACACACTGATTTTTGCAACAATGTGAGGTTTTTTGCTGCTCCAGTTCAGGTATATATATATATTTTTTTCTGTGGATCGTCTGTTATATTATTCAGTTCATAAAATATATTCTGGCTATATTTTTCTTTTGTTCTTTCAATCTGGGTAATGTTTATTTTGTATGATTTTTTTTTTTTTTTTTTAATTTCTGTTATTGGGTATGGCTAGTGGTTTGTCATTGATTTCAAAATTTGTTGTTGTTTTCATGTTGTTGAAATTGTGGTATGTTTTATTTATTGGTTGGGTGGTTTGTTATTGGCTTATGAGTAGTGATTAGAGCATAATTAGGTTTTAGGTTTTAGGTTTTGGGTATGTTCTTTGGGTGATAGTGTTTGGAGTAACTTGAGGTTTCTTCATAATGTTTATTGTTTATTTTCCTGCTCAGCCAAAGAAGGAAGAGAAGGACCTGACTGGGCCACGCATAAATGAACAAATTACTGCTCAGTTTGTTCGGCTTGTGTTGGAGGAAGGTATATTTTTTTTGTAATCAATAAAAAGGAGTATAAATTTGTTGTAGGTGTTCATGTTATAAAATTGCTAATTTAGGATGAATAGATAGAAAGAGACAGAAAGAGATTGAGGATTCGTATTATTCATTTTTGAGTGGTGGGTTTTAATGGAACAGTGAGCTAAAGCATTTGTACTATAAAATTACCATTAGCTGTAAAAGCTGCATCACATTTTGTTTTGCATGTGGGATATATTACAAGTGATCTAAATTATGTATGTATGCAGGACATAAAATTGTCTCAAGGCAAGAAGCGCTTGATCGTGCTTGGAGGCTCAAGCTTGATTTAGTTGAGGTAATGTTTTTCAATGTTATGGTTTTTTATTTTTTATTTATTATTAGTGGGTTTTCATGCATCATGTTTATGAAAGAATATTATAGGAGAATACTGCTAGTGGAAGTTCTACATGCTTGGAGCAAGTAATCTTCCTATTTTATTGTGGCATTTTATGAAGACTGCCTCCATCCTCCGTTATTATTCTCACGATTCTAAGATCCGATTATTATAAGGATTTAATGATGCATTTGCTAAGATGACTTATGTTATCACTTTTATCCACTCCATGACTATCTTGATGTCGTCAACTTATTAATATGTTACTAATGTCATGCTTTTGAACGTGGAATGGATGTGGCAAAGTACTGTCCTTCTCTATATTCTTTAGTTCCTAGTATTGTTTTCTCATTTCGTGTATAAAGCATGTTTCCAGAGTTATAAGGGAATGCTTAGTCATTAGAACTCAGAACTTTTAGTCTTCTTCGACAATAGGCTTTTGCTTCTGTTACTTTTTTTTAATTGTGTTATGAGTTCTCATGACATTGTCTAATATGCTCAATCTTTGAATTTGATGTACTTTACTGATACCTTTACCTTTTTTTTCTTATAGTTTCCCTTGTAGCCTAAAGAATGGTTCCATTATATTTACAGGTTCAAAGAAAAGCCGATCCACCTGTCTGTAAAATCATGGACTTCCACAGAGAGAAATACAAAAAAGAAGTACAGGGAAAGGAACGTGCTAAAGCCAAGGTAGGGAATTTGCTTGGTTGCTTTGAATTCCGTGCAAATTCTCTGAACAAGAACAATGATAATCATAATTGATTTTCTTAACACCCCTGCCTTTCCTTTTTCATGTTTTTGTTTAGCTTTCTTCTAGCGAGTTTCCTTAGCATGGGTGATTAACTTGATTTTAAGTGTGATTTGAATGCTTCTTCTCAATGAAAGTTGGGCCTTGGGCTTTGACATTGATCTTTAGATTTTAATTGCTTCTGCTTTCCAGAGCTCTAAAGGGTATATAAATAAATCTTTGGTTCTTGGTTCCACCTCATTGTAACATGTATTTTTGGATAGAATCATTTGTATGCACACTATCTGAAATGATGATTTCACTTATTCTCAGCTCTTCAGCCATGGACTGTTTTTAGATTAATTGTTATGATGTGCTCTTGAGCGGCGACTGTTTTAAGCAGCTTATTCTTTTATGCAGTCTGATGTGACTTTGAGAAAAGGAAATTTCAAAGAGGTTAAATTCGCTGGGAAAATTGTAAGTCAATTAAATTCTTGTCTCTACTTCTCTCTTTAAATTTAATCCATACATTTAGATAATTCTAATATCATGTTGAAGGAGTAAAAAATTCGCAGGTATGAATAACAGACTAACTGTTGATCATAAATCATGTAAAAGTTACAAAAATATGCTATAGTACAGATGGAATTTGTTAAGACTTGAATAATGATAAGGACAAGAAGAACACTTTTTCTGAAAAAACTTAATTGATTGAAGAAATATGAACAATTTTTTAAATGAATTCCGTGAAGAGATCTTTCCCTTTATGTCACATCATAAATCAACGCAGTCCTTTTATTTTTCTATGGTGCATATTCTTGTAATGTTTTGTTAAGTAGAATAGAGATTGTAAGTTTACATCATACCCTCTGTTATTGCTTCAGGAGCAAAAGGACTTGAAGATGAAGGCAGATACAATCAAAAGATTGATGGAGAGTGGTTATAGGGTGAAGGTACTTACTCTTCTTCTGTAATTTTTCAGATAAATAATTTTTTAGAATGTATTTTTGCTGTTATTGCATGCAGTGGCTGTAGGTCTTCCATTTCGGTGGTAACCTATTCTGCTAAATTTTTTCTGGTATTAGGAAAAAAAGAGCTGAATTGTCTGATCCTTGCATTTGCCCTTTTTTTTCGACATATTATGAAAACTATATTTTAGATTTGTGTACTTGTCTTTTATTGAGTGGGCAATATGATTCATACATTTATATTGAGTGTGCTATATGATACATGCATTCATATTGAATGCTGTACGCTATATATTTGTATGCAAACATGGCATGCAAAAGGTCCTCAAATTTGTACATGCATGGAAATTGTCTTATTTTGCCAAATGTATGCGTTGCATGTATCTGCTTCAAAGTCCTCGTGCCAAGCTATTAAATTTGACCGTCTGTTCTGAGATGAATTAATTATCTTCTCTCTATTTTAAATAGTGTATGGCCGTGCCTGTGAATAAAAAAGAAGAAGGAGAGGACTTGGGAGGATATTTATCTCGCCTGCTTCCTTTGGTACTGGTGTATTTTTTCATTTTTCTTGTAGTCCTTTTTCACCTGAGTTACTGCTTATTTTTTCTACTTCCTAGCTCCAACCTTTATTAGTAACAATCTGCAGGTTGAAGATGTATCTATTATTGAAAGTGGACCGCATGTGGAGAGAAAACAGGCATATATTATAATCAGGCATGTCAAATTTGGCCCGGCAAAGAAAGGCGTTAAAAAACCCAAGTTTGTTGGATATTCTAGTGATGTAGTTTCTAAGGGTGCAGAGACTACTTCAGGTGATATTCCCACCTCTGCACTGTGTGAGGAAGGTCCTGCAGGAATTGGCTTAGAAGATGAGTCATTTACGGATGAAGCTGACCTGTCAATCCCTCCACCAGTAATGCAGAATTTTACGAAAAAAGTAATGAATTCTGCGCCAGAAACAGTTCATACACCTGCAAATTTCAGTTCTTCAAAATCTTCACGTTCCCAGCCAGTGCATGGTTTTGCAAGAGCAGACACACCTTCATCTTCCTCACCAGAGCCTTCTCTAGGAGCTGACAACAGGTACAATAGAAGTGAAGCAAGGAATCAGTTCCCACCTACTAGACCAGTGGATAATCGGCGCCCAGGTATGAGAGACTCTGTCAGGTCAGAAGCCCAGCTTCCAAATCAAAGAAGGCAACCACCATTAGATACGAACCCAGGTATGAGAGACTCTGTCAGGTCAGAAGCCCAGCTTCCAAATCAAAGAAGGCAACCACCATTAGATACGAACCCAGGTGTGAGAGACTCTGTCAGGTCAGAAACCCAGATTCCAAATCAAAGAAGGCAACCACCATTAGATACGAACGTCTTGCCCTCAGGAGAGAGAAAGCAAGTTGGGGTTGATTCTTCTGTTTTTAGGAACACAAGGCCTCCTAGTAATATACCCAAGCGAGAACCTTCTGGTTCTGGTCCCAATATCCCTGGTAACCCATCTTCTAGTTATGGAATTTTCAGCAACCAAAAAGCCAATGTTCCTGGAAATCCTGGCTCGGCAGGGCCTGGGGCAAATAAAAACATTCCAGGTTCAAAACCAGATGGTAGCCAAAGACCAGGCACGGGTAACGGTGGGGAAGCGAAATGGGGAATATTCAGTAGATAGAAGTTGAATCAATGCAGCATTCCACAGAACATTCAGAACAAACTACAGTGATCTGGATAATCAAGAAGACTATGATACTGGCCTCTAATATCCGCGAGTTGCGACATTTTTGGTAACAATTTCCATCTATCATCCATGGATCATCGGTTTGTTAACCATCATTATCTTCTCTCATATATATTGTTTTTTAAAGTGCCTTTGATTAAAAGGGCGGCGGAAACTTTTTTAATGTATCACTTATCAGTAAATTATTCCTTTTCAAGACTGAGTAGTGGCATATTTATAATGCTATCATGTTATGAACAATTTTGGGGAAGAGAAGATTATTCTTTCAGATGGGAGATCACAGGTCAATAATAATACATCCTTTTTTTTTTTTTCTTAATTCTATGGTCTCATGGTTGAAGTCCTTTTACTTGGTAGCAAGGTTTTAAAACCCAGCCTGTGTGAAACCTGGCAAAGTGGTCAAATCTTGGGTTGATAGGTTGAATTGGTTTGACCGATGGGTCAAACTGATGATATCAGTCGTAGGTAAAAATATTTAAAATCCAATAAAAACACCTTTGAAAATTATTATAAGTCTTTACAGGTTTAAAATCTTGCAAAAACACTGTAAATTACATCGTTGGCATCAACAACCCAGGACAAATAGGGGCCTTTGACGTCAACGATACATCCCATCACCACGAGAACTTTTCCCTCAGCGTCTTGGTCAAAATCTATCTCACTCTACACTCATTCGCCTCGTTAATCGATGTCAACAATTTGTTGTTGCTGTTAATTTATTTTTGCGATTTTTGATCGTTTCATTAACTGGAAATCATTTTTGTTGCCACCTTCCACTAACTAGCACTTCCTCTTCAAAACTTCCAACATCTCAGCCTTTAATTGTTTGTCTATGGTCATCCTAATTTCCAGGATTTTTAATGAATAGTAAAATTGGTCCTTGGGTCCTGGTTGAAGTGGGCGGGTCAGGCTTTAAAACACTACTTGCTAGAACAACATTATGCTAAGTGGGTTTGTCAAGTCCCTATCTAAGTAGAAATTGTTTGCTTGGGGCTACACGGATCTATTTTTAAGTTTTATACAAACGGTTTACACTCTACTAGATTAAACAGAAGTAAGTTTTAACATTCTATATATTTTATGTGAAAGAAAGTGAAATATTTTTAATAATATACAAGAGTGAAGTTAATATTAGTATCCCAAAATTTTCATATTTAATGTAGTATTAACATCTTTTAAGTAGGGAAATCTTGAAGTACTATTTAAGGCACGTAAATATTATATATAAATAATAAAATATAAATCATAGAATAATATTAAATATATAATTTTTTTATATAGTTTTTTTTTTATATAAACTAATGTGATATAAAACGAATAAATGAATTTGTATACAAACTGTGGTGATAAAAGAGTTACGCCACCTCAATTTATATAAGAAATTTGTATACCTGGTTTTATAAATGTAGAACCACTCCAAATCATATTCAATTAAATCATTTCATACATAACTAACTTGATATTAAAATGCCCTGGACCTGTTTAGTTACTCAACTTCACTAAACGGCGCCGTTTGCTTCATTGAATAACCCGGGGCTCCAAACCCATACCCAACAAGCCCATCGGTGTCTCCCGGCTATAAAATCGCGGGGCTCCAAATCCGAAAGTCTTTTCACTCTTGCTACCCTAGCGAAAGATCCAGTGAGAGAGAGAGAGAGAGAGGAGTCCCGGACTTCCTCTAAATCCTCGCGTTTTAAACACATTTGAGCTCATATTCTCCGTCGTTTTGACTCGTTTTTAAGCTTCTTCTTCTCTGCTGCCAATCACAATCTCTAGGTCAGTGTAATTAAACTATAAACGAAACTCAAAGCCTGGTGATGTTTTTACTTGTTTTTATTTCTTTGTTTGAATCGAATATTATAAATTTGTAATCAGAACATGCATTTGTTTTAACTTAACAATTTGTCCACTTTCACTGTGAGTAGTTAATTTTTATATGTACGCGGCTAGAGACTTGTTGAAGTAATGGAATTCGCTCTTTATATGTGTTTGATTTTTAGGAAACAGAGGAGCTGTTTTAATATTTGCTTGAGAAATGTTAATTTATTTATTTTTTAATTTTTTTTTAAGGTTTCTGCGGTGGTAGGTGTAGTTTATCAGCCAAGGTGTTCGGTGGGTTGTTTGGTTAAAAAGGAGCAAAATGGATTTTGATGAGTACGAATACTTGGAGAAAACGGTTGAGAATCCTGAGCCTTCGAAAGGGAAGGCAAAGGAAAATGGTGGTGGTGGAGCTAGGAAGTTTGAAGAGAGAGAACGGAGTAGGAGTTCAAAGCATAGGAGTGATGAGAAGGATGAAGATCATGATGATGATGCGTGTCGCTTGAAGGCCTTCAAATCTAGAGATGATATATGTGATCGTGATAGAAGGAAAGAAAGGGGCTCATCCCGTAATCGCTCAAGGTCTAGAGATGGAGTGAGTGATAGACACAAGAGTAGCCGGGAACATAAGGATAGAGAGAGAGATAAGGATAGGGATAGAGAAGAGAGGAATGGGAGGGATAAGGAAAGAGATAGGGATCGGGAACGTGATCATGACAAAGACAGAAGAGAGCGGGAACGTGATCATGACAAAGACAGAAGAGAGCGGGAACGTGACGGTGAAAGAGAGAGGGAAAGGGATAAGGAGAAGGAGAGAGAGCAGTCACGTCGAAGTGGGAGTCGGCCAGAACGGCACCGAAGTGAACAGGATGAAAGAGAGAGGATTCGGGAGCAGGAGCTTAGGGAAAGAGAAAAGGAGAGGGAGTTGAGGGATCGAGATAGAGAAAACAGGTATCATTATTTTTGCTGTCTAATTTGGTCTTGTTATGTATGTATTGAATTATACTTTTCTATGTTATGGAGTCTGCAGATTGATGTTACATCAAACTTATTTATAATGAATACATTTCATGTTAGATTGCAAAAAGAAAATTATTGATTGCATTTGCTGCATGAAGTAGCATATGTTACTACCTGAGTAGTTATAAAAGAACTGATAATTAACTTGACTTCTATTGGAGAAATTGGTGTGTTATATGTTTGTTCTGTTTAAAAATGGATTGATCATTTTGTTGTGTAGATGTTTTTAGTCTAATCTTTAAAGCAGCGTAGGAAAGGTGTTATGTGTTAGATTTGGCAAAACTTCGTTTTATATTACATGGTTTGTGGATGTTTTCAGTCTAATATCTAAAGTAGCTAATTAAAGGTGTTATGTGTTTGGTTTGGCAAAACATCATTTATGTTACTTGGCTTTTCAACGAGAAACTGTGTGACTATAATAGTTTCTTAATGCAAAGTTTTGAGGGTTTTTTTTCCCCATTAAAAATAGTACCGCACAGTTTAACGGGGCTTAACTAAGCACAGCATTTTATGTATTTTGAGGAGAGGTGGTCATGTCTTTTTGGGGAATGGCTCTCTAGGGTGTTAACACAACTGTATTAGAACTCTTTTGTAGTGGTCCTATCATCTTGACACCTTTGCAATGTGCTAGCTCCTATAATACATATATTCACCCAAGAAATCCCTTGATCTTTTCTATGTGTTCACTGAGTGAAAGAATGAGGGTCCTTCTAGAGTATACAAGGTTGGTAGCTATGAGAGTTGTGTGATATAATATCCCAAGTAGATAGCTCGAAGGAAATTTGAATTGTTGAACTTTTGGTTGTACCCAAGGGCCTTTTCCACACCCAACCTCTGGCATTCACATACATTACCCAGTTCAAAATTAGTGCTTACTAGTTGCTTTGCCTTAGTTTATTGTTGTATTTGGAAGTTGGTTGACACACGCACACACACGTATATATATTAGTGAAGTTTATGGTGTTTTCGTTATTTTTTCTTATTTTTCTGCTATAGTGCTGATTATTAGTGCTCACCTTGTTAATCTTCCTTGCATGGGTGCAATGTTGTTGGGATTTGTTATTCCATTGCTTATTCCAAAATGCCTAGAACTTATTTTCCCTTGGTTTGACTTTGATTCTATCCCAGCTCTATAGGACATAACATTCAATATGAAGATAATCCAACTTTTCTGCTCGTCAAATTTTCCTCCAAGTACAAATCTTGCTTGACGAGTTTTATATTGCTATAAGCATTCTCAGAAATAGTTCTAAGTTTCATGCAGTTACTTGTGCTATTTAAACAATCTTAAAAATTCTGGTTATTGAATATTAGATTCTGGGAAATCGCAGATTCGCTAGAGCAATCTTCAGATGGTCCCTCTGGCAATTGGGCCAGGCACAGGAACTCAAGTCATGGGTTTTATATGTTTCTTCCTAGACTTTAAAGGCTTGCATTGCAAGTTGAGGATTTCAGTGGAGGTTTTGACTGGGGTGGTTATGTCCTGTAGCGATTTTTTGTTCTCCTCCACGTTTGAAATCATTTGCTTATTATTTTATTCTGTTGCAGAAATGCTGGTGAGGGTATGATGGCTTTGCTTTAGAGAACTTCGTCTTCTGATGCCTGTGGGAAACTCAATGTTCAGTGGGCTACAGGATTGGCCATAGATTTTTCTTTCTTTTGGTGCAGGATATATTAAGATTTCATGTTTGAAGTTATGGACACCAGTTAACCATAGTGGTCTGAACTGATTTCTTAAGTTTCTTACGGTTTCCTTGTTTTGTCAGAGTCAAAGTTTTGTATACAGCATCATTCAAAGACAAAGTTTTTAAAACTTTCTTGCAACCAAAGATTTTTGTCATTTTTTTTTCCTGGTATAGTGCTTCTCTCATTTTTTTCCTCTTACAAAAACTTGAAATGGAGAAATTTTTTTGTGGATTCCACATCATATCCTTTGGCTCACAAGTATCTCTTTTTTCTTTTCAAGCTCTTTTGCTGTTACTGTCTAATGGTTCTAATTGGTCTGCAAACTGTGTAACTTTGCATTTTTGTCTTCTAATTAATTCTAATACATCATCTTGTTTTTGTATATAAGCTTTACAAATACATACAGACCATACATGTAAGATATTTTCTTGTATGTTTCAGTTATCCAACCATTATCAAAGGACATTAGCGCTTTGAATGTTTGAATTTGTTTCTTATTTTTCCCTTAATTATGAATTCTGGAAACTGATCCCAACCGGAATATGAACTTTTAACAGGTTCCCAAATAAGGCAATTAGGTCCTTTGGCATTGCCATCTTCACAACTTGATGGTGCTTTACTTTTAAGATTATGATGTTTACAATAGGTGCAAAATCTGTTTTGGCTTTTGTATTTCACCACTTGGTGTCATTGTCCGCATTTTCCTTAATTGAAGCATTGTTCTCCAGGTTGGTTCTTATTGACTTAGATGACAAAGTCTCTTTATTTCACCATATGCATTCATTGGTCTTCTCATGTTAACTCAGTGTAAATCCCTGCAGGACTATGGTACATGGTTCAGCTTTTTAACTCATAGTGGAGAAATATTTGATGCTGTTTGTGGGTTCCTCCTTTGAGTTTATAGTTTAAGGGAAATACCAAAAAAAATGTTTGTCACTTAACGAGCAAAATAATTATTTTTACCTGTTGCTCTATGAATGTTCATGTGCATTGGGCTTGATTTCCATAACATTTTTTATTAACACTTGGCTACCAGTTAAACTACTTGATCAATTATTTTACATTTACATCCTTTGTAGACGATATAAAGAGAAGAAAGATGACGTGGTAGAGCCAGAGGCTGATCCTGAACGGGATCAGCGGACTGTATTTGCATATCAGGTAACAAAAGTGCTTTGGCACATGCATTATGTTTGTTGATTTTATTTTATATTATTTTTTATATTTCTGATCTATAATTTTGGTTAACAAATTGACAGATTTCGTTGAAGGCTGATGAAAGAGATGTTTATGAGTTCTTCTCAAGGGCTGGCAGAGTTAGTTCTTTTTCATGGGAGTTGAATGCTTAACTTGCCTTTTAATAATTCTTTCCTTTTAGAGTTCATATTATCATTCATTTTTATGCTTATGAATTGTAAGATAGGAAATCAGTACAAATCCATGTTTATATTTACGTAAACTAAAAGTAAATGTTACTATGTTTCAGCTTTGTTATTTTTCCTATGATGCTTATATTACAATATACAGGTTCGAGATGTACGCCTCATAATGGATCGTAATTCAAGGAGATCCAAAGGGGTTGGGTAAGTTCTTATATACTGTTACTTTATAATTCTAACTTCATATCAATTTGGTTTTCACATATATGTTCTGACCCCCAACTTCTCTAAATGATTCTGAAGGGAGTAAGCAATTTAAAGAAAGAGTGATTATAAATGTTGCCTATAAAGAAATGTGTGTGGAGGCAGCCCTAATAATTTGCAAAGTAGATGCCATGATATGTTCATTTAGAGATGAAAATCTTTCAAGACAACAAATCACACAATTCTAAGTTCATATCGATTTGGTTTTTCATATATGTGTTCTGACTTTAAACCTTCTCAAAACAATTCTCTAGAGGGCAAGCAATTAAAAGAAAGACTGATTATATATGCTGCCTATACAGAAATGTGAGAGGAGGCAGCCCCAAGAATGGGTGATTAACTAGGTTGCATAATGTGCTCATTTAGTGATTAAAATCATTTAAGACAAAAACTGATTTGTTTATTTTTTTGGGAGTATTCATATTGTCTTGTTCCTTCCTTGTGAAGAGAACAGCACTTGGAAGAATACTATGAACACAAAATTGTTAGTTGTAGATTGGGTTAGCATACATCTCAAATGTCAAATAAGAATACTTGAAAAGTGTTATTAAACTTGATTGTAAAATGGTGTGCATTTCTCTTTTGTCAGCTGAAACATAGTAGACAGTGTGTTTTTTAAACACTAATTTATGAGGAATTTTTCATTCTTTGCAGAATGTTAGTGAATATTATTGGCATTTAAAAGTTGTTAGTATAATCCCTGGGGTTTATTGTATTATTTGAGGTTTATTAGAACACTGCAATTTATGGTATTATTCATCTTCACTTATTGAGTTATGATTTGTGAATTTATTTACTTTCTGTCTCAGTCTATATGTTCATGGGTATGTGTGCATGTGTTTTGTCAGTTCTTCTAGTTTCAAACACTGTTTATGGTTGCAGGTATATTGAATTTTTTGATGTAATGACTGTCCCTATGGCAATAGCACTCTCTGGGCAGCTTCTTCTTGGTCAACCTGTGATGGTTAAACCATCAGAAGCTGAAAAGAATCTTGTTCAGTCAACAATAGCTGTGGCATCAGGTGGAGCAATTGGTCCCTATTCAGGAGGAGCTAGAAGACTGTATGTTGGCAATCTGCATTTTAACATGACAGAAGACCAACTTCGTCAAGTAAGAATTTCGTTTTTCTGTTTTACTTTTACCATAAGAAGTGTGACACTTGTACTGTATGACTGGAGAGATTTTGTAGTTTTTGTTTGAGGTTGCTGTAATGGGTAATTTCAGATGGAGATGTTTGCCGTAAGCATACTTTTTCATATCTTTTTCTGTTAATTTATCTTATATTTTCTTTCTGATGAATATTCAGGTTTTTGAACCATTTGGTTCTGTGGAGCTGGTGCAATTACCACTTGACGAAACTGGGCATTGCAAAGGTTTTGGTTTTGTTCAGGTGAGTCTGGTCGGAGCAATTTACATTTATGATTGATGAAGTACCCTTAAATTGCTATTGTGGTTTTTCCTTTATGAAGAATGTGCAAGATCATGAATTGAATTGAACAATGAAATAGTATTTTATTTGTAAAACTGACAGAGCCCATAGGTTTCAAACTTCAATAAGAAAGCTTGTCTATTTTTTTTACTTATACAGCAGTTTTAATTTTTAATCATATGTGAATGATGTTGAGATCATGGATTAATTGGATAAGCTGCCTTATTGCAGTTTTCACGTCTTGAAGATGCTAGAAATGCAGTGAATTTGAATGGACAGCTGGAGATTGCCAGCCGGGCGATTAAGGTATTGTCTCTTCATCTCATTTTCACCATCAATGCAAAATCTGTGGCTTGTTATCCAACCAAAAAAATTATGCTTTTGTATATCAACATGCCTATGTTCATTGGTAATTTTGGTACATGTATTCATGAAGAAGTCTGAGTTATTTTGTTTCCCTCTATTAAATTAGGTTTTATTTTTTTTATCTCGAGTTCCCACTAAGTGAACTTGTTAGTGGAGATGAATTAAAATCCTAGCATTGAGCAGTTGAATTGAGTTGAATATCAATACAAAGTTGTTTTGTAATTATATATTCATGTTACAGTGTTGTCAGCTGGAACATGCATTCTCTAGATGTATGAAGGAGAGAATAAACTGCAACTAATGTGATTGTCTTTCATTTACTTGAGTATTAAATGATATGCATTAAATGGTGATCCTTGTTTTTATATGGCATGAACTTTGGTGAAAATTTGTTTTATCGACTTCTCAGTTTGAAAGTTTTCTTCTATTTGTTCTTGTTTAGGTATCAGCTGTTACTGATCAAACCGGAATGCAAGATATTGGGGCAAATACTGGTGATTTTGATGATGATGAAGGCGGTGGTTTGGTCAGTGATAAATTCTTCACTTCCGTATCTGTTTATGTTGATTATAATAAAAATGGCCCTCTATATAAGAGCTGATTTTCTGAATGGTGCAGGCCCTCTGTTAACTGATGTCTCTTGTAATCTAGTGTTAATATAAAAATTGAAAATCAGAAAAAGAAAGACAGGTGTCCTTTGTTCTTCCCAGTCATCTGTGATTTTAGTACTTCTGCATTTGATTCTTGTGAAATCTTGACTGTCTGAATGCATGATTTAATATCTTGGAAATGCATCGTTGTTATGATCTTAGACTCTAATGTTCATATTTCACATCCTTGAATCTGTTTTATGTTTCTGCTGTTGTCTCCAAATTGTAATTTTTCTTTTTCTATTTTAATTAATTAAATTTGGATTTTGTATTTTTGTTTTAATGATATTATCTGGTCAAACTAATCTGATGTTCTTACAATTTGCAGTCTCTGAATGCACGTTCCCGAGCACTTCTTATGCAAAAGTTGGATCGTAGTGGCAGTAGTACAGCGTATGACCACTGCCCTTGTTATCTTTTTTCTATTATGTTCTGAGTATTCTTACAGTGCTCTCTTTTTTTCAGTATAACTGGTTCGCTAGGCACCTCTGTTATCAATAGCACAGGCCTTACATTACCAGTGGCACCAGCCCTTGGAGTTTCACCTGCGGTTTCTTCCCTTGTTCCTGCTCTTTTACAAGGTTCTGCTCCTACTCTTCCCGGGCAAATTGTCACTAATCTTCCAGTGCCCACTGCTGGCATTCCTACTATTGATACAATCGGTGTTCCAAGTGAATGTGTTCTGTTGAAGAATATGTTTGATCCGAAAAATGAGGTTTTGGAAATCTCTCTCAATATATATATATATTTTTTTTGGCGTTTTAATTTGGTCATGCTTTAACGTATAAAATGTGGCAGACGTATGAAGACTTCGATCTGGATATCNTTTTAACTTATTTATGTTTATTCTTTTACTAAGCTTGCTGCTTCGAGTCCTTTTGTTGAGTAAAGGGTTATCTTTTTGGAAATTAAGTTGGCTTTCTCTTAAGACACTAACCGTAATACTTATTTTAATTTTTCTTAAAAAAGGACGCACGTCATGAACAGTAAGAATATACTTTGTTTAATCTTACCATGTTTTAGGGTTTTTCAAATTAGTGGATGTTATTGATTAAGGAGTCTTTCAACGTGGATGATTAAAAGAAATTGAAGGATGCCAAACTATACTAATATTTCTTATCTTTGGTAAATAATCTTAACTCCTTAGCATCGGCCAGTGAATATATTCAAGTTGGCTTTCACTTGGGGTTTAGCATATATTCAAGTTAAGACACTAACCCTGTTATGAAATTAAAGATCACACTCTAAACTAAACACACACATAATCAAGATCAAGAAACAAATCGAACATGGCGATTTACCGTGGTTCATGTTAATGTTTTTGTCATCTTATGATCTTGTTTTGAGTCCTGCACTATTTTTCCTTTCTGCCGATGTGGGCACACTCACTAAAGGTGAACACCTTCACAAGTGTGAGCACTTTAGTGTCTGTGTGCTCACAATGCTTTTAACAGATATTTTTCCTAAATCACACTTCATGCACCCATTTTGTTTTTTTGGACAATAATATTCCTTGTTGATATTCTGTTTTGTGCTTTTACACTTGTCTTTTTTTTATTCGCTATGTGAGAAAAGGAATATTGCTTTTGTTTGTGGTCCCAAATTTCTTGTGCAAAAAGAAAAACGCAAAAGTTAATATTTAACTTTTTTATCCACTAACCCTTGATACATTGATCTCTATATATTCATTCATTTCTAGCGTTCTCTTCAAGGAATCTGATCACAATTGTTCTCCTCTCTGAATATTCTTTGAGGTTCTCATTTTGGTTAAGGTTTCTTAATATGCTTTGGTAGGCTTAGAATTATCATCCTCACTTGTCCTAGTGTAAGATCTTTTGGATGCTGTTTCTTTTGTGACGAGACCTTGTGTGTAAGCTGTTGTCCTATCTTCATTGTTGAATGATAAGAGCTTAAAAATAATTATTTATTTAGTGGTTTTTGGGGATTAATTGTGGGAAATTAGACTTAATTTGGTAAAGTTGCTTAATATTTTCATAATTTCCTTTTACAGGATCATGGGTGTTTTTGAGTGTTTTTCAGGCTACTAGTGCTTAAATGTTATGGTCAGATGAAGAATCATGTTGGCAATGGAATAAGTGACGAGTGGAAATAAACGGACCAAGAATCGGGGTTGAATTGAAGAAGTTATGGAAGTTGAAGTAAAAAGAAGATTCTAGATTACGTTCCAGCTTGAGCATGCCTCGGTATTTTGAGAATATCTTGAGCTGTAGAACTCGTATTAAGACGATTCTTGAACTGTTGGAAAGCTGATTCAAAGGGCTACATTAATATATTTACCACTTTTCCAAATTTCATTGTTATCAAGTTCAAAAATACCATCTCTAAAGAACAGTGGAATGATGCGGGAAAAAGGCCAGTAGCTACTATGCCGCAGCACAGTGCCACGGCACACTTTTTCCAGTAGCTACTATGCCACAACATAGTGCCGGGGCACAGTCACAGAAGTTAAAAACTGGTTATCCGTTTTTATGTAGGAGAATAGGGTTAAGAGTCCTAAACCAAATAGAATTAAGAAAAATAAAACCCTAACAAGTCTTTTAGCATTATTTGGGGGATTCTTTGGTGAGAAGAAGAGGAGAAAAATCTGCAGAGAAGAGAAGTAATAGAAGTTCTGGAGCTTTGATTCACAATATAGAGAAGTTTTCATTGTTTTTTTCTTATAAACTCATGATGATTGTTTCTTTCATGTTTATTATGAACTAAATTTATTCTCTAGGGCTAAGATGTAGCCCAATCTCTTAATTATGTATTGATCTTTGATTGTTAATTTTTATTAAGAATTCTTCCTAAGTTTTACTATTATTCCTAATGCTTTTGATTCTTAAAGCCCAAGAATTGAATGAACTAATAGATTAGGTTGAGATCGAAAGATGATACTTAGTTGGTCTATGATAGTAAAACCATAGGTTGAGCGAACGCTAAAGATAGGTTACCACGACTTGTGAGGTTTCGGTAAACTCCATAGAGCATAATGATCTCCAATTGCTTAAATCTGATTAGAGATAATTAGGGGTTAATTTGATAATTGTTCGAGAGAAAGTTATTGGTAATTTAGGGAGTTTGACCTGTAGGAAGAGCTAAATAAAATTAGCATAGGAGATCGATACATATGAATAAGAGTTGGTGTGAATTCTATGCCCTAGGTCTAGTCATTTTGTTTTTACCCAAAGGTTTATTTTAATTGTCTTCTGTTCAGTTCTCTTTTTAATTTCAATTGTTAATTTAGTTTAGATCTTCCTTGATACAATTTGGATTGATTAAATAGTAATAGGATAGTTTAATTGGTAATTGATAATAGTAATTTCCTTGGGTTCGATATCCGTATTTATACACTTTATTACTTGCACGATTTCGTACACTTGTGAAAATCTACAGCAAGTTTTGGCACCGTTGCCGGGGAATTATTATATTATCAATATCAATACAAGCTATTTAGTTACTAATTTGTTTTGTAATTTATTTATTTTTTGTTTTTAGTGCTTTAATTTTTATTTCTGTATTTTTAGTGTTGGACTGTATATAAGAGTTAGGTTCAATGGCAAATACAGGAGGAGAAGAAGTTCAAAGGGCACTTAAGGATTACTCAAGACCTACAATTGAGGGATGTGCTTCTAGTATTAGGAGACCACCGATTCAAGCAAATACCTTCGAGATAAAGCCAGACATTATTCAGATGATACAACATTCGATTCAATTCGCAGGGTTGTCTAGCGATGATCCTAATTTGCATATCGCAAGTTTTTTGGAGCTATGAGATACATTCCGCCACAATGGGGTATCTGATGATGCAATTAGGTTAAGGCTTTTCTCATTCTCTCTTCGGGATAAAGCTAAGGCTTGGTTAATTTCTTTACCACCCGAAAGCATCACTAGTTGGAATGAGTTAGTTCAAGTATTCCTGGAGAAGTATTTTCCATCGATCAAGTCTACCAAGATGAGGAGTGACATCACAAAATTTTTCCAACAAGATATGGAGTCGCTTTATGAAGCTTGGGAGAGATATAAGGATCTCTTATGGAGGTATCCTCACCATGGGTTACCAATATGGTCGTAAGTGCAAACATTTACAATGGGTTGATGCCAAATATACAAGCCATGGTAGATGCTGCAAGTGGGGGAGCCTTGAATAACAAAACACTGGAGGAAGCCTATAATCTGATTGAAGTAATGGCAAGCAATAACTACATGAGGCCTTCAGAGAGAAATTCAACAAGGACAGCAACGGGAGTGCACCAAGTTGATGCCTACATCGCGTTGGCTGCTCAACTTTCAACCATCCAAAAGTAATTGAAGTTGCCCTAAAGGTAAATGCTATTGAAACTCGTTCTCCAACTTGTGAATTTTATGCAGGGATTCATTTGTCAAAAGGATGTCAAGTAGGGAATCCATTTGCTCCACCTCAACAAGTAAATTACGTCAACAATTTTCAAGGAGAGCAACAAAATCCATACTCTAATACATATATTCCAGTATGGCGAAACCATCTAAATTTTTCTTAGAGTAACAACAATCATCCTAAGCCACCTCCTGGTGTTCAAGTTCAAGAGGCGAAATCAAATTTGGAGGATGTGCTTACAAAGTTTAGGAGGAATCAAGTAAAAGATTTGACAAGAATGAAGCTCAACTTCAGAAATATGAAGTCTTGTTGCAAAATCAATCTGCTTCCATAAGGAACCTTGAAACTCAAATGGGACAAATTCATAGTATCTTAGCGGGAAGAGTTCAAGGAATGTTTTCGAGTGACATCGAGAAGAATCCAAATGAGCAACTCAATGCCATCATGTTGAGAACTAGTAAGGAGTTTAAAGTATCAAGAAAAGCTGAAGAAACTAAGGAAAAAGCTGAAGACATGAAATTGGACAGAACCAACAATGCCTCAACACAATGCCTAGGCACAAAACCAGAACTTGAGAACAAAGCCCAAGATGTGAAGAAAGATGAAGCCTCTCTCTCGTATCCTCACAGAGTGCAGAAACAGAGATTAGACAAGCAATTTGGTAAGTTCACGGACATGTTTAGAACTTTACACATTAACATTCCTTTTGTAGATATGTTAGAGCAAATGCCAAAGTATGCCAAGTTCTTAAAGGAGATCATTACACATAAAAAGAGGTTTGAAGAACATGAGATGGTCATGCTCACCGAGGAAGGTAGCGCGTTGCTTCAAAAGAAACTACCACTGAAATTAAAAGATCCAGCGAGTTTTAATATTCCTGGCACAATTGGTAGTTTTTATTTTGATAAAGCTTTATGTGATTTAGGAGCTAGCATTAACTTAATGCCATTTTCTATTTTCAGGAAACTTGGTTTAGGAGAGGTGAAGCCAAGTACGATTCATCTTCAATTGGCGGATAGATCCATAACATATCCTAGGGAAGTGGTGGATGATGTCCTAATAAAGGTAGACAAATTTATCTTTCCGGTAGATTTTGTAGTTCTTGATATGGAAGAAGACCGGAACATACCTTTAATATTAGGAAGGCATTTTCTAGCTACAAGTAGGACTTTAATAGATGTACACCAAGGTAAACTAATCTTAAGGGTGGAAGACGAACAAGTGGAGTTCAATGTTTTTAACACGATGAAATGTCCATCCGAGTTAGATACTTGCTTTGAGATTAGCATTCTTGATGACAAAGTAGTGGAAACCTTAGAAGAAAACTGCCCTAGCTCACCTCTAGAAAATTGTTTAGTCAACTCTAGGATTATGGAGGTTGAATTTGAGAGGGTAGATGAACAACAATTGAAGCCTTATATGTACGGTGGATTGAAGGATGGAAGGGTTTGGATTTTCCTAGATGATCCAGATTGAAGGAGTCAAAAAGTCGAGCTTACGACTCTAATAAAGCACTTCTTGGGAGGCAACCTAAGCTCTCTACTTTAATTTGAGTTTTGATTTGAATTTATTTTAGATTTTCGTTTAATGTGTAAGTTTTGATAACTTTGGTTTGGTTTGATATGTTAGTTGTTTATGTTTCACCCATAATTTTTGTTATGCACACTAAATTGGCCAAGAAAGGCACATAGTTTATTTTTTTTTTACTAGATTTCCAATGACTATTGGACATGGCAAACATTATGCATGCCTTCACGCGATTATCTCCACATTCATCTTGAACATGAAGGGTATTGTAGTTGTTCTCTTTGCACATTGAGGACAATGTTCATCTCTAACGTTGGGGGTAAGGAATATATATATTTTTTTTTTGTGGCCAAATTTAGTTTCATTTGATGGACATCTTTGAATATCTTTTGCTTTGAATTATCTCTTTAAAAGCTTTTGGGTGGAATTGTTTTAGGTGTGTTGTAGGGTCAAAGAGTTAATGTATTTTGCTTTGTTTTGGAACTCATACATAAGTCAATGATAAGATCATGATTGTGAATTTGTGACATTGAGATTTTATTAACTTTCGCGTAGTGTAAGGATGATAGTGGATGACAACTGCATTTAGTTATGACTCTCTTGGGAATGGGTTTGATTGGTTTAATAATTCGGAAACTTAGAGACGTTTTATGTGTGTTTTTATGGGCAATAATTTTTTTTGTGAAAATTGTGCATAAACTCTAGAACTCATTTGATAACCACTTGAGACGAAATCCTAGAATCTGCATTACTTAGGATATGATTTAGACAATTTTCTTTGGAACGATTGAGCCTTTCAAGCCAACCTATATTACTTTCTCCCTAGTTAACCCTTTGAGCCTATTATTATACTCTTGGTAAGCCTTATTTTTTTTTTTTTTGGTGTTGTAAACCTACTATATCTCACCTTGACGATGAAGCCTAAAACCTTTCGGACCATCTTATTGTGAGAGACTTAATTTAGGGTGACCTTATAGAAAAACTCATGAAAAGAAGTGTGGTAGAAGAAAATAATATACTTTTGGACACAACTTGAGTATGTGCAATGAGATGGTTGGGGGTTGTGAAAAGAAAAAAAAATGATGTAGAGAAAGGTGGGTAGAGAATTTTTTTTATGAGTACTATCTTCCTAAAAAAAAAAAAAAAAAAAAAAAAATCAAAAGAAAGAAAAAAAATTTTGAAAAAAAATTGAAAAAAAAAAAATTTGTAGAAAAATAAGAAGAAGTAGCTTGGGAGAAGAACTTGAAATGAGGTACATTACATGAGGGTTTGTGCTAATGTCGGAAGGAAGAGTTCAATCAATGTGAAAGGGTAGAGGGTGAATGAGAAGGGAAGTAAGAAAGAGATTGTTCATGGTCATTTACTGTAAAATATTAAGTCTCTTACATTTTGTTAAAAATTCCTTCTCGTTCTTTCATAAACCATTACCCTAGCCTAACGTTACAACCATGCTAAAGACCTAATGATCCGAGGTAGTGATTGGATTCTACATTAGTGGAGAGTAGTTTGAAAAGTGAGCCTATGGAGTATGATTGTACATTTGTTTTATTTTCTTACTTTGCCTATGGAAGCTATGCATAAAATCATCTGGGTTTTTTGATGAATGGTTTGTGAATGATTTTGAGAGAGTAAAAAACAAGAGTGTAATTGAAATTTGCATATTCTTTATATTTGCGTGTTGTTGATTATTTGATTTGTTCACATTGACACAATTTTTGAGACGATTATATGTATATATGGTTCCTAAAATGTTTGTTTGAGTCTTTAGTTTTGCGTCTAGGTGAGGTTAGGTTTGGATGTTTGTGGGTATCATCACTAGAAACCCTCACGAGACTATAACTCGTCCAACTAGGGCCACCTAAGGGTTTAAAGGCTTGTTGCATATGCTAAATGTAACCGTGACAATCTACAGAAGTGATTTAGGATAGTTTAGATATAGACTTTATTTTGTTTGTGTTTTCAATCTAAAGGACTTAGTTCTATCAATTAGCTAGCTAGGGACTAGTAAGAAGCTGGTTCTTGAGAGGAGCTCTTCTTCAACATAATGTTGTTGTGTTCGTGAAGCTTGCTGTGAGGACTTGAAGTTCAACCAAAGAAGATAGAGTTGTTGTGTAGAAAACAGGGAGTGTTTTACAACTTTGGTTATCTTGCTTTGTATTTGAACTCACAAGTTTTTCATAGTATATTTGCTTCCTTTGGACTTGGTCCCATGGATGTAGGCTTGATGCCTAACCATGTAAAAATGAGTGTGTTCTTTACTATATTTTGATTATGTTTATCACAACTCATTTGCTCTAAAAATTGAACGAACAACCCATTCCGCATAAGTTTTAAACACTTGGTAACCCTTTAAAACTTACAATTGGTATCAAAGTTTGTTCTGAAGAGTTATTTTAGTTGATCCTTGCTTGTTTGTCAGATCTTTATTCTATGTTTGTGCTTGTCTGTTTCGTCTTTTGTTTCGTGTTTGGTTGAGAAGATCTACTCATTTCGAGTTGTGTGATCACCTTTCTTTGTGTGACCACATTTGTTGTTCTATCACTATGAGTTTTTTGACGAAGGTGGATCTAGTCATAGACCACCATTGTTGGAGGGAACTAGCTTTTTCTTCTAGAGACCTAGGATGAAAGCCTTCTTAAAATCTATTGAAGAAAGAGCTTCGAATGTTTGTGTTGTTGGTTGGAAAGAACCACAAGTTGTTAGTGAAGAAGGTGGTAGCAAGGGAAAACCCCTTGATCAATAGACCAAAGCTAAGTTGAAAGAGTCTAATTTTAACTTTAAAGCTTTGCATGCACTCTTTAATGCTGTCAGTATTGGCCAAATAAAAAATATAGCCAACTGTGAGATAGTTAAAGATGCATGAGATAGACTCCAACTTAAGAATGAAGCAATTGACACGATTAAAAAGACCATGCTTAGGAGATTGATTACTGATTATGAAAACCTTTTTATGCATGCTGATGAGTCTATTATTGATTTTCATGGTCGATTGTGTGATATCACGAATGAATGCTTTGCTTTGGGTAAGATCAATATTGACACTGAACTTGTCAGGAAAGTTTTGTGTTCCCTGCCTATGAAGTTTATGTCCAAAGCAACCTCTATTAAAGAATGTTGAAATCTGGACGAAATGCAGTTGGATGAACTCATTGGATCACTTCAGACTTTTGAACTCAATCTGAAATGATGGGAGAAGAAATCAGGAAAGGGTCTCGCACTGAAGCATGAGGTAATATCTGAACCTACTGTTTGTGTTGTTTTTAGTGATGGTGAGGAAGATGAGTGCGCGTTGCTAACAAAATTTTTTGCCAAATTCTTGAAAAGAATATGAGAAAACCTAAGTTGAGCAAAAATGGTAAAGAACCTTTTGTGAAGAAGTCCACTGACCAAGTTGTTCAAGGTGCTTTCTCGAAACGATTTTCGAGAGATAATGACAAGAAAAACAAAGACATCAGGTGTTATGAATGTGAAAGGTATGGGCACATTCAGTCGAAGTGTGCAAACACTATAAAGAAAAAGGAAAAGTCATGGCTGCCACACTAAGTGAAAGTGATGATAGTGAGAGTGGAGGTGATGACATAAATGAGGATGAGAACTTCCTGGCTTTTATGGCTAACCAAGAGGACAGTAGGATCATGTCCTCGGATGACTCAAGAAATGTTTATAAGGAGAATCAAAAGGCTTATGACAAGATGTATGAGTCATGGGTGAAAGCCATCAAGAAGATCAAATCCCTTGAATCTGAAAACTGCACCTTAACAAAAGATAAAAAAAGTGTTGAATGATAAATTGAAAGTTGTGTTTATTGATTTATCCAACAAGGAACTTTTGTTAAATCAAACTTTAAATGAACTAACTGAGGCTAAGGCCATTATTGAAAGATTGAATGCAGGTTCTTATGAACTTGATGAAGTTCTTGGCCAAGGGAAGTCTTTTGGTGACAAAACTGGATTGGGTTTTTCTCCTAGAGCAAGTTCTTCCAAACCTGGCCATTAAGGTGAGCACCTCGAAACCAGTTGTGACCACCATTTTTTCAGACCTGAATGTTCTTGCTATACCTCTTGATCCTCTCCTGAAGGTAAAAAGGTTTACTCTTGTTTGTCATTTCTGTCAAAAGAAAGATCACATTAGACCAAATTGTTTCAAGCTTATTGCATATTTGAAAAGATGCATTGGAAATCATATTTTTCTCTCTCAAAAAACCCCGCATCAAAACAATTTTTTCAAAAATAGAAAAATATGGAGACCTAAGTCTAGTACCAATTGTTTGGTTGTGTTAGGAAACGGTCCATGTACGCAGCGAAAAACAAAACATCATAACACAAGGATCGTTCCCAAAGAGCCAAGATCAAAGGTATAATTTTACAGTTTTATCATAATAAGAATCTGCAGAAATTAATCATGAGTTTAGAAAAACATACGCACATTTGGAGGCTCCTCCAAATTTGTCAATGAACGTTTTTGCTACTGACCCAAGTATAGGATCGAACCCACGTAGTCCACACGAAGACAATCACAAAGAACTAAAGAGGGATTTGCTAGATCATCCTTAGCTTTAAGATTAAGGAAGAAAAATCAAATGAATTGATTTTGGGCAAAATGAAATACTACCGTGGGAGAGGAAATATGGGGCTGTGTGTTTTCTTTTCAATGAAAATGAGTGTAACGAAAACTCTTACATTTTACAAAGAAACATTTTCTTTCATAGTGTTATTTTAATGCCCTATTCCCATATGGAATAGGCTTGGGCTCCAACCTAAACATCCCATGTTACCAAACACTCCCAATTAGATATTTATTTTTATTTCATCATTATCTCAATTAAAAATCAATTAATATATATTTAATCTATATATTAACATTTAACAATCAGATTGATTTATTAAATATATGCAACACATATTTAAACGTAATTTCACTTATTTAAATTTTTTAATAAATTAAATAAA